TCTGTGAAAACCAATGCTTGCTTTGAAGCATCATACTGGGTTATGACAAGCAAACTTTGGCTAGATCTGTGCTTGCTTCAGGACAGCAGACCAAGTGTATTTGAATAACACACAAGAAGCAGACTGCTCTGAAGTCATCTATGAAATAAGGCATGTCAAGTAGGCTTGAGCTACAGTCCTGACTTTTGAGACATTTTCAGATAAATATTTTCTAGAGGTTTGAAAACCTAAAATTATGTCAATTTTAAAAAGAAATCCGTGTGTCTACTGCAAATTTCTATTTCTTTCAGATTCACCAGTCTACTCATATAGATGGTGCTGGCTGCTTGGGAACTAGTTTTAATTAAAAAAATGGTACATATACATCATCCCATTTCTGCATTCACACCCTAAATAAAAGACAATTACTGATAAAACTGTCACACTCATTTCTTTGGAAAATACTTAATCAATACAAAACTCTATCTTGATGATGCACTAGCTTCTTCTAAATGCATGAGACAAAAGAGTTTACACAAAAGGCTTAATTATTGAAGAAGTAAACTCCTTGGTCTTTGAAACTTTACACCACATAATGAAGGATTTCCGTGAAACACAGACTATAGAATCTTCTTTTCTTTCAGTGTGCACCACATTCAGATGCACAAGTCAGACTGAGAGACAAAATCAGGCTTGAAATCTCTGTATCTTTAATCAGTACTTCTGAGGTAGAAAAAAGTCATTGCAGAATGGGATTTTTGTGTGTGTGTGCACTCAGTAGAATTCATACATTTATAGACTCTCTCCCAAACGTGTCTTTCATCCAAATGCTGAATGTTGGTCATATTAAGAGAAGGGTCTGCAGTAACAGGCAAAAGAAGGGGCTCACCATTCCACAATCACAATTCCAGAGAAGAATACAATGAAAAGGCAAAGACATACAGTCAGTAATTCTATAATCTCACTTCCCACTATGATAAGGGAAGACGTGACAGCTGTTTTTAAACAGCTAATTGTTTCTTGAAGAGGACACAGCACCAGAAAGAAAGTTATTTTGCTGGCTTGCCCTAAGCCCAAAGCACAACAAAGCAGGTCTTAACTCTTACCTAGGATCCAAAAGAAGCACAGTAAGCAGGGTCTTTAATGACTGAACCTAGGTAGTGCTAGTTGCATATCTGAAAATCAGATTACCTATTTTAACATATAAACTGGATTTAGGAACTGGTTTATAATCTGTTTAAAAAAAAAAATCTTTGCTTGAATATATGTTTTTTGCTAAAATAATGAAAGGGCAGAATAGTTTAAGTTACAACACCTAATTATACATTGAGATTTAATCATAACCATTACATTATAACCTATTACTGTGACCAAAAAAAGAGAGAGAAAAATTGTTTCTTTGACCGGATGGTAAGAATACGATGACATTTCTAATTTCAAAGGAGACGACAATCTTTGTAACTGATGAAAAAAAATTACTCAGTACTTCCTGAAACATTCTCTTACTGATTATTTCTAACTACCTCACCTCATTTTCTTCTTCATGTTCCAGTATAGCCTGTAGGAAGGCTCTCCTTTCGTGGCTTGAAGATTTCTGATCAAACATTCCAGCCTGAATAACTTTTTGATCTACATTCAGCTTATACTTTGCAGCAGCAAGTATCTTCTCTTCCACACTGTTCACAGTGCATAGTCGCAGGACTCGAACTTCATTCTGCTGACCAATTCGGTGAGCTCTATCTTGGGCCTGCAAGTCCTATTAGGCAAAGAACACAGAGAGTGATTTATACTGTAAGAGTGCTCCAGAAATTGTTCTGTGCTTAAAGGGCATTATAACACTGAATGCTTTTTGGTATAAAGAGGAAACACTCAAAACGACAGTCCACCACAATTCACATGGTTCATTCTTCATGGTTTTCTTTCCTAAAACTTTATCAGACCCAGGTATGGGGAAACTGAAAGGGAAAAAACACAGACTTGCCCTGTACAGTGTAAAATGCAGTAAGCCAAAAACTTCTTGAAAGCATGTGCAGTGACTGAGAAGGGCTAATGTATTTCTTTTTTCCCTTCTATTCAAAACTCATGGCCTTCCAAGCCAGAACGAACCCTGAAGTAAAATATCTCTTGACTGTAGGAAAAGCAAGCAACAAAATTACCAGGAAAAAACCTATACATAAACTCATCTACTAAAGGTCATTGCTATTTTTTAAATATGTTAAAGAAAAACTATTTGATCTGTTAATTTGGTTTTTAACCTGGAATATTTGTGTTAAAACAGCTTAAATACTATCTTCCTGATTAAAAGTTCATATATACAAGACTGTGAATCAAAGTAACTATTATTTTTCAGGTGACTGCCCTTAAAAAATGAGAGGAGTAAAAAGTACACTTCAGGTCACAGGTAAAGAATTTATTTTATTAATTCAAAATCTTACTTATTTTCTTTGGGGAAAAGAGAAATCCATTAATTCCTATAAATGATGTGTTTCTATTTCAGCACAGTCAGATAATGAAGAGTACCTAACCTCAAAATGATATGACAGTTTTGTACTACCTCACAACACAGAAATTTCTTAATGTAGAGCAGAAAAAAAAAACCCCAAAACAGGCAATGAGTTTGCCTATTTCAGTCCAGCACCTTGCTTTTGCTACTATTGTTAGCTCTTCCCTTCCACAATTCCTTTCTCGGGCACTATATATGATGCAGTTGCTGCAACCTAAATGTGTATTTGAACTCTGCATTAACAATGAAGCAGCAGCGACAATATTAATTTGCTTATATAATTACTCTCAGAAGCACAGGAAAATGGTAAAGTGAGGAAATAAAAGTTTTTATTTCTGGAAATAAGCTGTTTAAGTGCTACCTCCCCAGCTATCCCCTTTTAGCACGACTCATTAAAATGGAGGCTCAGAGGAGACCTTACTGCTCTCTACAGCTACCTGAAAAGATTGGGCATTTGTCTCTTCTCCCAGGTAACAAGCTTGGGAGAAGAGGACAAGAAGTAACAGCTTCAAATTACGCCTGGGGAAGGTTAGATTGGATATCAGGAAAAAAATTCTTCACCAAATGGGTTATCAAGCATTGGAACACGTTGCCCAGAGAAGTGGGGTTGTGCCACTATCCCTGGGGTATCTGTGTAGACGTGGCACCTAGGGACATGGTTTAGTGGTGGACTTGGCAGTGTTACGTTTATGGTTGGACTCAATGATCTAAAGGGTCTTTTCCAACCTAAATGATTCTATGATTTTGTAACTTAGCACTCTGCCCACTGACTACTTTAGAAAATACTCTGCAATTTTTACTATACTGCAAGGATTTATTGTTATCCAACTGTTGAAATATATAGTACTCTGCATTAAACTTGTCTGTGCAAGTGATCTAAACACAACCTAAAATACAAAGAGCAGCTTTCTGAGCTGCTTTTAAAACCTCTAAATACAATTGCTTTGAATTTCTCAAGCCCTGCTTTAAATTGGTCACTATGGTATCTATGGGAACGCTGCCATGAAAGTTCTGTATCAAACTCTTATTAGTCTCACCACCCTGACTTTTACATGTGGCCATTGACTATGACGTGATTTGCATATATCTGCACAATAGCTGAAAACACACACAGCTATGCACTTCCAGAGATACCTAACTTAGGTTCTTAATAAAAAAAGGCACTGAGTGACCAAGACAGACTTCAGTGACTTCTCCTAGCTTTTTAAATAAGCCGAAGCGTTTTGATATCTTCTTTTCCTGATCTATAACCAGTACTACCCACCCACACCAACAGTGTAAGTTCAGTGTCTCAGGTCAAGGCTCCTGCACTCATATAGCCACTAATTTCCTGAGACAGGCAGCGCTGTGCACAGCCTTTACTAAAATATTGCAGCCTACCTACCAAAGACTCAAAATAAGGAATTACTTATTAATGTCCTAAGAGTTAAAGAATGAATACAATCATACAAATGAAGCAGGTCTATAAGGCCCCTAGCTCTGAGGATTCCCTGAGACAAAGATAAAATACATACACAGACACAGAATTACTTCACTGATTCAAACCAAAATATTCCCTAATAGAAGCAATTTGCCTCATTAATTCCTCTCAAAGCAGCATTTCATACCTTACCTAGATCTATGCCATTCATTCCAGGCTATACCCCCAATTTAAAGAAGAAATCCAAAAAAGCATCATTAATTCTTCGCACATTTAATGAAGATAAGTAAACAAAAATAACCTGGTGAGGATTCCAGTCACTATCAAAGATTATAACAGTGTCAGCAGCCTGGAGATTTAAGCCTAGACCTCCAGCCCTTGTACTCAGCAAGAAGATAAAGTATTGTGACCCAGGTTCATTGAACTTCTTCAACAGAGCAGCTCGATCTTCCGATTTTGTTGTGCCTGAAAAGAAATTTAAAAAATACTCAATAACAAGTATATGAACTGAAATAATATAAATACAATGTCACTTGCTAAAAGTACATGTGGAAGGGAAATTTTAATCACTTGCTCTTTGCCACCTCTGCCACACTTTCCATAATACAGAATAAACACTGGTCACAAATGTTCTGGTCAATTGCCTATCACATCTAAGAGGCAGACTTCTAAAAGCCTCTTTTAGGAATTTCTTTTGACATTTCAAAAGTGGACTTTAAAATGTTGACTAACATTGTTATACCTTTTTTTGACTCACATAAATTTAAATTGAAGTTACTATACACAAATAGAAGACAACTCCAGTTTTCATTAATGCCTTCTAGTCACAAAAGCATCTAAATATTTTTAGAAGTTGCTTATGTAGAGATTTATCAAAATGTCAGTGTTGGCGTTCACAGTCATAATTCATATGAAAGGACTGAAAATTCTTAAAATGTCCTATCATGAGGGTGATGGTGTAGAATGGCTGGGGGGGACCATGCAAGGAATTCAACCATGGTGAAAATGTAGACAAAGTTCTAAGTAAAAAACAGGCCCTGTTTTTTACTCTGGCAACTGGATGAATTTCCTGTACTTTGACAACAATCTATATGGATCACCTTAGCCTGGTACTCTCTTTGCCTTCTCTTTTTTGCACTTCTGTCTGTAACTGAAAGCCAAAGGAAGTCTGCTATTTTTATTCAAGTACTGATATACATACAGAAGATTAAGTTTTTCTATTACTGTGGTGGGTTGACCTCAGCTTTCTGCCAGATGCTTACCCCACTACCACCTCTCTCACCATACTCAACACTACATGGGTAGAAAATAAGATGGAAAAGCTCCTGGGCTGAAATAAAGGCAGTTTAATAAAAACAAAAACTGTGCATGCAAACAAAGCAAAAAAAGGAATTAACTACTTCCCATCAGCAGGCAGACGACCAGTCACTTCCTGGAAAGCAGGGCCTCAGCACCAGTAATGATTACTTCAGAAGGCAAATGCTGTTACGAGGAATGTTTCTGCATTATCTTCCTTTCCCTCAGCTTTTATTGCTGAGCATGTCCCTTTGATTAGCTTGGGTCAGCTGTACCTGCTGGTTCCCAGCTCACCCCCAGCCTACTGGTCTCGCAGGCAGGGGAGTGGTTTGGGCAGAAAGCCTTGACACTGTGCAAGCATTGCTCAGCAATAGCCAAAACACTGAAGTGTTATCATTGGTGTGTTATCAACCCTGCCCAGCCACAAATAAAAAGCACAGCACTATATGGGCTGCTAGGAGGAAAGGATCCCAGCCAGATGCAGTACAATCACACCATGAACCTGCTGGACCACAGAAACCCATCCCTGAAGAAGTTATGTGACCTGGGTAGAAAACACTCTATGTGAGAAGATAGCTGGATAAATCTACGTATATACTACATTACAGCATGGAAGGCATCTGTCATCAAAAAACTGCAAAAGAAAATAAAAGGGTTCATCTCATTTATTTAACGAATTACCTGCAAAACCCTAAAGAAAACGAAGAGCTGCATTTACCATACTACTTACTGTCACAGACATTCTAGCATGAAAAAGAATTCATTTTAAAATACATTGCGTAAGGTAATTTAAAGCATTTTAAATGTAATATAATTCATCTTTCTTGAATGGAAGCATTAAAACACCTGCAAGCCAGAGGTGCAAGGAAGGTTTTGTAAAGCATGGTATTATGTTCTTCAGTCAGTTTTGACAGAGATCCTGTGGTACAGTGAGACAGCTCACATGTATCTCAAGCTTCATTACCCCATTTTACAATTGAGGATAACAGCATTTCGAGTTTATGTTCATTAATATTTGTAAAGGACAAGAATACTTCTCAGAATTACTTTTCTTTGCAAATGAAGCATTAAGCAAAGAGTAAACTTAAAATGCTGTAAAAAGAATATTCAAAAGGACCTTAAAGTCTTCTTAATTCTCACTTTATTCATGCTGTTCTTTATATTTTTTCTTAAAATCATTGCTTTTCTATTAAAAAGGTATTCTGATAAATGCTGCTGGCTCTATGTAATAATAAAATGTGTGAGATAAATACATTAAGTAAAAATAATGAGTATTTAAGAAGGTTAGTATGAGGTAGAATCATAAACATGGAAGAAGGCCAAAACAGAAACTTTACAACAGCTTTAAACCTCAGATGGGATATGCTATTTCTAGTTATTTTCCTTTCAATATTACTCCACTATGTTTCTAAATCATCTTTTAATTCAAAGGTAATAAAACATATCTACACCTAAAGTAATTGAGGCTACTGACCTTCTTGTGAAATTCAGGAAGAAAACTACAGGTATTACATTACCTGTCACTGAAATTGAGCTACCCTGTGGAGAATAGCAGTCGAATTTGAAACAGGTACAAATTAATTAATTCCACTGAAATCTATGCAGGACACTGGCTTTAACATCTCTCATCATGAGAATACTTCCAGGCAACGTAGATAGTGAAAACTGATTGGGACTTTGTATTTTAAACCTTGTTTGAAAAAAGAGATCAGCCCCGAAACATCACGTCTCTACATAATCTGCATTCAAGGAACAGACCTGAGTGTTCATCAAAACAATCCCTCAATCAAATGGTCTGCAGGTTAAACAGGTGAAAGAGAACAGTCAAAGAGCCATGGAGAGGAAGAATTACTTAAAAGCAACTCTACCGAGAAAAGCAAGAATACATCTCGCTCAGTATCTTGTCTGTAAGAACAGGGAAAATTCTAGTAAGCTGAAGTTTAACAGTCTACTGCCGTAACTTCATGACAAATATCCTTGCAGACTCTTCCTTCATGCATTTGTCAAATCATTTTTTAAATCTGTTTACACTTTCATATAATCACATCACAGCACTGGTATGCTAGGAAAGCACTATGAGGAGAACCCAGGTCTCCCATGCCCTAACTAATGAAGCATGCTACCTCCTAACTTATTATTTACCCTTTTTTTTACTTGGCTTACCATCAAGACGCAGGTAAAGGAAATTTCGAAAGGCAAAATAGTCTTCCATGATGGTCATCAGTGATGTCATTTGACAGAAAAGAAGCACACGATGGTTAGTAGCTCGTAACTTTGGTAGAATACGATCGAGTAGCTCAAACTTCCCTGAGGCCCGATAAAGTTCAGCTCTGTTGAAGAGAAAAAGCATAGTAAATCCAGAATAGGCCTGCATTTGGAAAGATTTTAGTCATTATCGTGTCAGAATATAACAAAAAAGATTAATTTACTTAAGATAAACCAGACCAATAGCACTTTTCTAGTTTTAAAATTGTTTATGTTGATTAAAATAAAAAAATAAACACCCATGTGAACTACTGTTTGGAAAGAGTTTTCCTTCAATTACAAAAACTGTGTGGACTTTCAACCACACAGAATACCTTCCTTTATGAAACTCAATTCTGTTTGATTATTTATCAAAACAAACATTGTTTCTCAGCTAGATAAGCATGTTATCAGTTAAGACATTCACCTGCTAGTTTTGCTTTCAACTGGCATTTACTGTAGCTGTAAGTTGTATTCATCAGGCACATGTCAGAAACAATTCCCTTTCCACTCAACTATGATGCACATGGGAGTTATATATTCCAAACTGAACTACTATACAGAGATAATGGGACAAGTTTGACAGAAGATACACTCTTTAGCCATATAACCCGAACATAGCCATATAGTCCTGAACAATATTGGTTGTTTTGATTAGCTGCAATTCCGTCTTCTATGCTATGGATTGCAAAACAGACTCTTAGCACTGAAATTCAAGTTGTAACTGAGCAAAGTAATAAAAGTAAACACGATGTCTAAATCAGCATCACAGTGATATGCTTTACAAAAACAAAGTTCACATAACTTTTTTCTAACCTTGAGTTTGTAATCTGAAAATACAATTTATCATTAGCAATGGTAGACTTAAGTCCACAAGATACATGGTCTTCTGATATGCATACATACATAATCAGCAAAAGACTAAACTGTTTAGGAGACAAGTAGTATGGTATACTAGTTGAGGAAAAAAAAAAGAAATGTAATTCTTGTCAATGAACAAGAAGGGGGTCAGGTGGAAGACATACATCTTTCCTTTAAAAAGCATCAATTTCTAGATAGTTGCACAAAGAAGTGCCAAAACCAAAATACTTCATTTCAAATAAAGGAAGAAATGCTACTTTAATTTGGAATAAAGACGGTAAAGAGGAAAAAGCAGAAGGCCTGTCCTCCTGAAAGAGATGGAGGGTCATAAAAGGCTCATGTAACTCTTCTAGTACTGTTATCTTTTGCTTTAGGTATGTGCCCTGTGCCTCCTCTGCTTTTCTATAAACTGCTCAAGTTTGTTAGCATGTACCTTCTATAAAAAGCATGTGATGCATTAGTTGGAATACAACATTATGAAACTGAAAGAGTTACCCATTGATGACACCGTTTGAGTAGCCTAAATGTTCAGCAAAGGACTCCTGCAGAGTTATAAGCAATAAAAAGATTATTACAAACAACATAGTAACCCAAAATTATGCATTCTTTTGTCAACTAAATTAAATATATGAACGTTGGAGTTTGAGTTCCATTGTGTTCATATCCTTGGAATCCACTACATGGTGGTCTGCTTAAGGTTTTCCTGTACTACTATTATTTGAAATTCATGTTTTCAGAAGTAACTTGTGTCAGCATACATTTTGCCAGATTACAAATACAGCAGAAGGTAATTAATTTATACTAATTACTGGAAGACTCATTTGAAAATTACTCAATTTATTAATTAGCATACAAGAGAACAAAGAGTGAAAACTATAATGATAATACACCACAATAGGTACTTAATTATTAATTTATAAATGTAGCTACATTCCAGATACTTATGACACTTTCTATCTTTCCAGATATATCATTATATTTATGTACTTTGGGTTCTAATGAGAGATGCTGTATAGATAGTGCACTTTTGATGAAAAAACAAGGCAGATCAAATAGGACAATTTTGGTGGATATTGTAAAAGATTAGCAGCTGCTAGCTATAAAGATCCCACACATGGCATTTTGAACTACTGTGTCTCATCATAAATTAGGTCTAAATCTCTATCTAAATAGAGATTACATTGCTGTGGAACATCCTAAATTAAAAAAAAAACAACAACTTTGATTTTTTTAAAGATAGTGTCTCCACAAGACTAAATATTTTAAAACTAGAGTTCAGATTACCAGTAAAAAGCTGGCTGCTGGTCCATTTGTTTCTAAAATTAAGGGACCGTAATGATCGTGTTTTTCAAATGTCTTTTTCAGCACAAATGATGTGGAGACAGATGTCCTCTCCCACACACGTAAGCTTCAATACCAGTTTTCTATTACGTTAGCCATCTGAATAAAATCAACTCTCAAAATCAAACCTGTCAGTCTTACCTCGATGTGTTGAAACATGTATGGGTGATTGCATATCTTTCTCAATTGCATGATAGTGTTCATAAGAGTTTTTGCCCCACCTTTTCCCTATGGGTACAAACAATGCAAATCAAATGATAAGTTTAATTTCTTAGGTTATTAATTAAGTTTTTGAAAGATATTTTTAAATGCAGGCATAAAAATACTTCTACTCCAAACATAAATACTGAATTACTAATTAAAACAAAACAACAGAAAAAACCCAGGAGGTACTGTGCAATTCCCTTGCTGTATAAATCCATCATAAGGATGTTCCATAACAAGAAAGGAAGACAGTGAAATCATAACTTCCATCTAGAGCAGAGATTTTACATTTGAAGGGGGTACACCACACATCTAAAATCCTCTCAAATTTGCTACAAAATGCAGTTCATATTTGTTCTAAGCGTCATTTCCTAGAGCCTTCCAGCTTAATGAATTCCCTCTAGTCTGAGCTGGTTCCAGGCCAGAGCTGCAGGAAGACAGAATTTTTTTCCTAACACAGTAGTTGTTTGATCACTGAAGCCATGTGTTCTCAACAACCACCTCCCTCTGCATTTAAAGAAAAAAATGAACTAAGAGAGGGTGGCAAGAAAGGAAAAATTTTAGACCTTGGGGGAGAGGAGAAAGAGAGGGAGGTGTTTAGAAGACTGCAAAGGTAGTTTTAACTGGTTAAGCAAAAAGCTGTATGGCAAAGCAAATAGGAAAAAATCAACAGAAGATTCTGGTGCAAGACAGGTAAGAGATCAGAAAGGGAAGGAAGTAGAGACTGTCATACAAAATGAAATTTGTAGGACAAAAGTAAAGACATCAAACTACAAAATCACATTAAAAATACAACAGAGGAACATAAATTGAAGTTTAAAAAGTGTGTAAGAACCAGCTTTGTCTGGACTTTGAATAAGCTCCATCAAAGAAAACACTTTGCACAAAACAAGTAGGCTGAAGTAAGATACTGAATAAAAGTCACCTATTGTACGTGCAAAAGGATGGTGGAAAGACAGTATGTAATGGCACTGCATCAGTAATATACACATAACAGAGTGCAAACACAGTCATATACCAGCTGTTCTGCAGTGCCTATTCAAGGTATTTCACATTTATTATAATGTGAAAAGTGTACACACAAATAAGATGATGAATGGCAACTTTGATTTTACTTGCTATTAACTGGATCAATTTCCATGACGGCATGATCAACATTTACTGATAACATAGCCTAAATCTGACTCTATGACTTCAAATTCTACTATTCTCTTAAAAGAACTCTGTCATTAACAGATCTTATAAGTACGAATGCAAGCATATAGCCCCAGATGGCTGAAACAGGACTTAGACTTAACTCATAGGTCTGAAAGACAAGATTAATAACTTTCTGTAGACAGTGCTATCACAATTACAATTATTCAGGTGCATTATTGGATTAAACTCGGTCAGGGGAAATGTTGGATTTTTTTTTTTTTCCAAACATTGCCTGTTTGCAGAAAAGCATTGTAACTATAGTCAATGCAAGTAGTATCTTTTGCTTGTGAATAGAGAGCACGAGATGCAGTCTTTTAAAACAAAAGCCTGTCTGATAGAGATTTCTTTTCCCATGACAGACGCCTGCAGTAAGACCCTACATACTAATTTTATGAAACAGAAATCACACTGTTAACATGTTCAATCATAATACATTGTTTCCTACATGTTTTAGTCTTTTTTTTGTACCTTCTTGTCTTTTTCAGAACCATCTGTAAGAAGGATTCCCTTGGCTTGCATGTGACGGTACAGGATCTTCTGAAGAGCTGACATATCACATTTGATCACGTATTCCACCTAGTGTAAAGGAAAAAAATACAATCAAACAAAAAAACCTCACAAAAACACTGACATAACAATGTTAGTAGTGTCTAACTGCAGGTTCTTGTGCTTCTAAAATACAAACCAAAAAACTACTAATCTTTTTTCCATGCCCTAAGACCACACATGATTTCAGTGAGTAGCAATCAAACTGCAAGCACAGCAATGAGTATCTCAAAAGATTATCTGTGACAGTCACAACCACTATGACACAACTGCATCTTAAGAATGTAACTGCAGAATTGCCAAACATTTTTCATCATTCTGTAATTTTAACAATTTAAAAAAATAAATTAAAATGAATTTTGTTTTATTTTAACATGTAATTTAAAAAAAATTATGTTTAATAACATGGACTTTATTATGTCTGTAAAGCATTATAAAGATATCAAGCAAAGCATTATAAAAATATCATTGTATACCTAGCAAATAAGAATCCCTCACAGTGTCTAATTAGCATTATGCTCACCTAGGTTGGCATAGAAATACTTTTTTCTCAATACCAACTAAAAACACAGGGAATTAATCAAGTACTGTATCATCCTCACATATGGTTTGACTTCTTGTTCAGCTCTGTAAAACTATATTTATTAAAGCATTTTTTGACTGCACACTATCTTGGAATCCAGTAATACAAAGACTTCATATGCCAATTTAACCCATTTTTTTCTATTACTCAATTTCCAGATTACACTCATTATGTTTTTAATAAACTATATAAAATAAAAGCTGTTGCATAATAAAGTCACACTAGTGGGTAGAAATCTTTCAAGTGGTAACTAAAAGAAAAAGTGTAAGCTTCCTAATGTTTAATAAATAAATTGAATAAAAATTATCATGCTATTTTCTTTTCAGAAAGACAGGAAGATGAACTCATTGAAGAGAAGTGACGACTACTTCAATGGCCTTTTTACCAAGATTTATAAAATCAAACAAAAATGATTACAGGCTTCGGTCAACAAGTTCAGTCCTCATGGTTGGACCAATTGTTTTTTTCATAAACAAGATAATGGAAACAAAAAGGAACATGGTCCTCTGATTACCAGTGTGTATGCAACTTTTATATCCTCCTCCACCAATGCCTATTAATGGCCCTATCAAATACAGTGGCTCTCACTGTCAGAAATTTGAATTTGAATACAAATAAAGATTCCAGTAATATTTTTAAATGCGAGTACGTTTCATTCTCAAATAAATGCTTCTGAGGATATGGAGAATCTAACATTTGAAGGAACAGTAAGTTGCAACAGTAATAGTGTTCACAATATTATGAAGATGAGAAATAAATTTTTAAAAAGCTTTCTTTAAGTACTGTCACTAAGCAACTGTGCAAAGCTCTTCATTCATTCAGCCAGTGTTAGTCACCTCATAACACAACCTACAAAAATTTTATTTTGGTATGTTTTTAACTCAGTTGACCTTAGCACCAAATTTTCCCTAGCACATCTCCAAATTTATTTTTTTATTTAGTTGCTGTTGTTATTCTGGGAAGTGCAAAAGGGCAAAGTGATGCAGAATTGCAAAGGACGACAAGGTAGGTCAAGATGAGTTGCCCAGAGATAAAAACAATGATCTTTCAAATCAGAAGACAAATTTATGTTCTCAATTAAAAAGCCACTAGTTAAAAAACACTTGTGCAATTTCAACAAGACACTTCACACAACTCCTGGAATATTAATACACGACCAAATTCTGGTTGCTTTATGAAGTCCAGTAGTCCCTATTCCTTTTCTGTGAACTAAGAGAGCAAAGATTCTAACCTGTGCAGGGAGGATGAGACAGGAGAGAATCTAATCCTCTGTGTATGGCTGACTCACAACTTGAAACCAGATGTTATGGAATTAAGTCACATGTCTTATATGGATGACTACGAACAGAATTAAAGCTGTAAGATTGGTGAGGAATTCTGAGAATGTAGAAACTTCAGGTATTCAGAATTCCTCAGTGGCCAACTTTCTTTGCAGAGTTATAAACAAGCAAACCAGAGAAGTAACAGGTACTAATATCCTCTTCTCTAAAATAAATCTGAAAAAGGAACATTACATAATGCTTAAAAAAAAAGTATTAAACCCCTTCCACAACTCTTCTCATTGCAAACCTTTTCTGGGAGTTGAGACTCAACCTCTTTCTTCAATCTTCTCAGCAAGAAGGGTCGGAGCACTTTATGGAGACGACGGATGATCAGAATAGTTTCTTCCTCATTTAAGTCCACCTACAGAAGTTTATAGAAGTCACTACAAGGCAACTCAGTGGTAATGTCTTCTCTCACATGTTTAAATATGCACAATAATTACTTGTATGTTACAACCAAATTGACTCTGAGTCAAAAAAGACACTGATATTAAGATTTTCTGGCATTATAAAAAAGGTGGCTTTTAGGTATGTTAATTCCCTAAGTACCAGGCAGCGCTCAAACACTAATCCTTCTGTATAAGCTCATTTGTGTTTTCACCAAAGTAGTTTGTTTCTGATGTTTTGAAAAAACTTGCCACAGTACCCTTTCTCCAGTCATGGCAAATGGAGCGTTGAACCACTGTTCAAAGGTGCTACAGCTCTTGAAAATGGTTGGGAGGAGGAAATTGAGAAGAGCCCAAAGTTCAGGCAATTTGTTCTGCAATGGAGTCCCAGTCAACAGTATTCGTCTAGGGGCCACATAGTGAGTATTCAAGACCTGAGTCAGCTTGCAGTGATGGTTCTTCATTCGATGGCCTTCATCTACTATCATGTATTTCCATCGAATCTGCAAGAAAAAGAACCAAAGTTGGCACAGTTAGAGCAGGTCAGGCTTAAGTTAAATTCCTCCCAAGAGGTGTAGAACAAAAACATTTCAAACCTAAAACATAAGTCATTCTCATTTACAAGAAAAGTCAAATCAAGCAGTATTAAGTATCAGTGCCCTTGTAAGCAGCAAAAACAGAAACAAATACTAGGTATGTTGAATCTGATGCTGAATTCTGACTTCAACAACAAACAGCAGATTCCTCCCATTTCTGGGAAAGAGATTAGAGTTACTGGCTCTTCAAGGCTCCCATGGTTCACAGGGAAAGAAAGAGACAACATAAACTTAAAATAAACCTGTCTGCAACAAGAACCTTGACAGGAGACAAAAGCATTTTCAGACAAAACAAGTGCTCACAAACAACAGCAACCCTGAACTTTGTTTTTTTTTAGCTACTCCTGTGTTTTCACTCAAGAAGAAAGCAGCATAATTATAATCATCTAATCTCAGTTACTGCACCTTCAAATAGTTTCTTCTTCTTAAATGTGAAAGCTTAAATGCAGTCACAGCACACGCTGAAAGAAAGTTGCTCACACTCTCTGTTACCACAAGTGTGACACTGACCATACAACTAGGAAGGCCTCAGCTGGCACTTTCATAGGTGCTAATTCCATTTCCCAGGATAGGTTGAATGGCAGAGTGTTGTCCTTCCTATCTTTCAGCAAGGGTGGGCAAAAACTAGAGGGGAAGGAAAACTCCGCAGTCTCATACTGTTCTCAAGTGTTCAGAATTATGTTAAGAAAATGCACTGCTTTTGCATCAGAGAGGAAAAACTAATAATCTAAATCTCCAGTATGCAACAGAATGAAATAAAATTAACAACGAAGGGTCAGTAGGACCACATGGTTTCTCCACATGGCAAAATATCTCAGTCTGCTTTCTGTGTACATGGAATAATTTTACTGTACAGGAGTGTTCAAATGAATTCATTATGTTTGAGGGACACCTGATGACAGAGAGCCTTTAAGAACCAGGCTATGTGCAGTAAAGAATTTGGATACCAAATTCATGCTACATGTAACTATCTGGTTATTTGGGGAAAAGTGACCACACAGCTGGAAATGCTCTAGTAAGAGTGAGCTTCAGGTCAGAAACAATGAAAAAAAATTAAATTCAGGACTGCAGATTAGGTTAAATGCCACTAAGCAGAGGGGAGAAAAGTCATGTTTTTCCAAGGACAGGCAGATACACAGGACTGACAGAACAGCACAAAATAATTAGTCTGCTGGCCACACTAAGGAAAATTCTGGTGTTTACAGTGAGAAGATATATGACTGAGTTCAATCATAAACAGAGGAAAAGAAAAGTAAGTGAAAGGTTTAACTTCTACTGAAGGACAGAACAACCACTCAGGACTTCCTTATAAAACAAAAATGTGTTTTGTGCTATGCACCATTTGAAAGAGTCTTGAAGGTCTTGCTGTTAAGAGATGACAGTCATTATTACCTTAGCAAGGATATGTTTGTCCTTTATTATATACTCATAAGTAGTTAAAAGAACATTGAATTTTCCACTTCGAAGCTGAGGAACAAGTGAGCGGCGCATTGCAGGAGTACCCTAAAAGAGAGAGAAGTCAGTAGTTACTCTTTCTTCTGATGAAGAAAATAATATCAGTTTTATGAATGCACAGACAGAGCAACCACATGAACTTCTAATCCTACAGTACTGCAAACAATATAATGATGCATTCCAGACTTCTTCAGAGTGCATTCCTGGACTGTAAAGCTAAATACTTTCTAGACTGTAAAGCTCTGTTTATAGGGCACTGGAAACACATAGCTAGTGGTCTAGTGTCTTTACAAATTGCTTGGCCATACCACTACTACAGTAGCCAAACAGCAAAGTATTCAGTTATGTACAAACGGTGAACTATCATTTGTATTACACTCATCACAAGCCTTGCAATGTGTTAATTAATAATTTCATTCTGCATTTCACTATGTGAAAGTAATTACAGTTTATTCCAGTCATCTTCTTAGTATGATTAACTCTCACTGCCTAGTACTCGATATACATGACAAAACTTCACAAGCAAACAGTTTAGAAATGCGTGCAAAGGCAGAGGAAAAATCTCTCTATTCTCATTCCTTCCACTCTATAATCATATAAAATGCAAATCAAACCTTGTAAGATATCTTCACCACAGAAGGAGCCCATTTGTCGAATTCATATGTCCAGTTGGATAAAGTCCTATCATGGAGATTATAAAAAAAAAAAAAAAGTAATATATTTTATCATTTCCATATCAAACTTTATAGATGTTTCTAAGTGGTTGCCAACTTTTCAACCTATTTCATGTAATTCACCCCCAAAATCAACAGTATATTTTAAAAATGCACTTTATATTCTGTAATAAAATACAAGCATTACTAAGAGGGGAGTAAACAGAAAAAAAGCATGAAACTCTCTTTCAGCTCATATTCAGGGGCATCTTTGAAACCAATTCAGAGCAGTATTTTACATGCATCTTAGTATTTTGGAGCATATTAAGGATAAGAAAGAGAACCCTAAATAAAAAATAGATTTGTAAGTTCTTTTGTACAACTTATCATCCAAAATCTGACATTAAAAGTTTTCAAATATAGCCTCATGACGTTAGTAAGAGAATTCATCTGTGTTCTACTTGAGTAGAACTACTCATAGTGCCACCCAGTGCCACTATGCAAGTCTATTTTTGCATTGTGTTTCTGCTGTTTGAACAAATAGGTTTTTATGGCTAAGCCAGTTACTCTCATGATAGAGCAGCAAAAAATAAACTTGATTTTTTTTGGTTCCACGCTCTTTTCTTTTTTTTCTCCTTCACTGGACCTGTGATGGCAGCAGTACTACCTATTAAGAAGAGGAAGGGAAAGGCAGCTTTTAAAATGCATACAAGGAATTTCAGCTCCTCTCTTTTAGAAACATTAAAAGATCATTATAGAGTACTTAAAAAAAATCTGATTCTTTTACTGTGCCCCTGTGGAATCTGACATTAGTAACACTCTCCTTTATTTTTAACTTTGATTTACTGTATAGATCTTCTCCCAGACATTTCTTTTCACACTAGAGCTCATTGTTTGTATCCATACAACTAGGCACAGCTGTGGTATTTATGTTAGTCAATCAGTTACTACTGCAGCACAGCTGGGAGACAGGGTACCTCAAAAGAAATCAAAAGAGATTGACAAATAGAATTTATTCCAAGCCTACCACACATTCGCATGCTCAGCACAATTAATAGACAAATTATCTAACAAAAAGGGTAGGGAATGTCTGCATATCAACCAAGTCATTACACTCAAAAATAAGCAAACAATCCCTTAATATCCTACACTAGTTTTACAATGCCTGACAGTTTTTATTTAAAATACAGCACTTCAAATCACTAAAACCCACACCTGACCTTTGGAAAAAGGAAAGTGCATTAAAAGAAATGTATAAAACAAGCAGCATCTTGGAAAGCTAAGGAAAAGCAAAACGGGGCAGCACAATAAACAATGATAATCTGGTCCCTTGACTGAAGTGTGACTATTACTTATCAAGGCTATATCCAGGGCTAGTTATACAGTACCTAAAAGATTATCCAACCTCATTAAAACATAATTACTTAGTACCAGATGGGGTGCCAGTTGTTTAAAGAATTAAGCAACAGATTTTTAATATCACAGTTAAAAGTTGAACGGGGAACTGCAGGCATGCAATATGAAAAAAAAATACCATCCCCCTCTTGTGGCTTAAGAGTGAATTACGGTAAATTCACTGCTCAGTTTGCCAGAAGAGTGGGCAGTGAAACTATCGAAACCAAGTGCTTTATCAGTCTTCTGGTCACCCTTGGAATGCCAGATAATTACCTGGAAAGAAACCATCAAAGAAAACACTGAATACACGCTCAGTGTAATCCCACTGTGCACCTCATCTTGTCATTACATGAAAAACAAGTGTGTGTTCCGAATAAACCAATCTGCAACGCCTAGAATGATAATAGCAGAGAGAGATCCTTTACTTACGAAAGGGGAACAATGATGAGATAGGGGCCATTGAGTCTTTTGTGCTCCATCAGGTACGTGATGAGTGCAATAGTTTGTATTGTCTTTCCTAGTCCCATTTCATCAGCTAAAATTCCATTCAGATTATTATTGTAGAGTGAAACCATCCACTCCAGTCCCTGGAGCTGAAATGAAGAATAAGTTCCAGTTATTTAAAACCCACACAAATAATTAACACTAATACTAAAGAGCCAAGGTTCTGATGTCCCTGCCTACTTAGATGTCAGATTTCCTTTATAATACTATATCCCTGGCTATCTTAACACATTCCCCCACCCCCCAAAAAAAACCCCCAAAACCAAACCAACAACAAAAACCAAACCAAGATAAATTTCTGCCAACCGCTCTATGAAAATAATCATTCCTGTTTAGTAGAGCCCATAATATAAAGTCAGATTTCATACGTGAAGGTTTTTTTGTACTACACACAAAGCAACACAGGCACTGACATACAAGGTTGAGAAATACTTAAGGTTATAGGACTTTTTTCTTCAATTTCAACACTGTCAGATGTTAAATGTTCTACGTATATTTCATGTCATTTGCCTGTGTCAATTAAAATTGCTCAAAACCAAATGTATCAAATCTGCACAAAACATGTAAGCCTCACACTTGCCAACTGCATCACTGGTATGCTAATGCTCTTGTGGCACATGCCCATTTACTGTCTACTGCCCATACTTCCACAATGACAAGAGTAGGTCCCCTTTGTCCAATTAAACCTTGCGTATAAAATCCAAGAGCTGGAAGGAAGACAGAGTACTGTAGCTAAGAAACATCTACATAACAGAGTCTCACACTCCAAGGAGTACTGCTACAAAGCACTAACTCAGATTATTCCCTTGTCGCACAGACTTACACATATGTGTGTGTATCACATTACTCATGCAAGTGCAAAGTTTTTGTTTCTAAGATCCAGACTTTTGGTGTGTCTCATGCACAGAGAGAGAAGTAAATTAAGATGCCTGAGAAAGTTCAGAGAGAAAACACTACATGCCTGAAGTAACATTCTGTTGTCCCTGTGAGAGTATCCAAAATAATGCTGCCTTTATGTACATGCTGACTGATTTATATTTAGGTATTAAATACTCAGGCTACCAAAAGTTGATTAGAATTTGTTCTGCAACCATATGTCCCACTTACAAAGTAGCTTCATAATTGAAAAAAGGAAAACCGTCTTTTCTACGTCAATTGAAGTTTCTCCACTAACATATACCTGACAATAAGAAACATGGAAAAGCAGAAAAAAAGCTGACAAGGAAAAAGTATGTAAAATCTACATGACCGGGAAACACAGAAGGGGCGAGTCACAGAAGTCTCCTAGTCTCCTTCAGAATATTCTTTCTAGAACCAAAGCCAAGTCTCAACACTCCTGACATAAAGCTCCTTAGACAAGTGTGCCTCTTACCTCTTGTGCAATTATTATATAGAACAGACACCATAAAGAACAAATTACTTATTCAACTGTTAAATATCATATTGAGCAGCTAAAGGACCTGCTCTACTTTCTAATCACTGTGAGTGTCTGCATAACTCCACAATACTTTGTGGCAGGCAGGGACATTACACTGCAATACACAGATCTGCATAATTTAGGAATATTTTTCTGTTTCATAAGTACTCAAAATTCAGGAAGTAAAGGAATTATTACAATCTTAATTTCCCACCCATAAGCACTTTAAGCCAATATAGCCATTGTTATACACTCTTCATTTAGTACATCAGGTAAACCTTCACAGACAATGAACCAGGATTATACAGTAAAGAAGGCTGCTGACTGCATCTGCTGGCTCCCTGCTTCACTGGGTCCACAAGCTAGACAACATAGTGACAATGAGGCCACTAAAAAAAAAAGAAAAAGAGGGCATCATAGCTTAGAAAGTGGCATATTTCTCTGTATGATGGGATTCTATCTTGTCTTAGTCACAATGGTGCCAGAAAAGTTATTTAACCTATTATGTTCAAAATCAGTCCCCAAATGACACGTTCCTCTTTTTGTTGAGGGCAACAAAAGACACCTAGAAGTGCTAAGGATTCAAAACAGAATACAAATTTAAGTGGAGTTTTGCTATGAACAACTACAACCATAGGATTATTCAGTTTGGAACAGACCTCAGGCAGTCTCTAAGTCAATCCCTTGCCCAAAGCAGGTCCAGCTTTGGGGCCAGGTTGCTCAAGACTTTATATGGTCAGCAACTGAAAACCTCCTAGGTAGAACCTCTCGACCCCCTGCTCCACAACAGCACTGTCTTCTTCTGCACACCCAGACTCAACCCTCTTGTTTCAGATTTTGTTCACTGTCTCGTCTTCCCACTATGTACCACAGTGAGGAGCCAAATATAAAAATACTAAAATGCTCTGAAAAGAGAATCAGCTTAACTCTTGAATTTTAAATTATTTCAACAAGCTACCGTAATAGACGACAGCACTGAGGAGCATAGGAAGCAGGGGCTGTAATCATAATGCTTTGCACACTTAGGAAACAGTCTTCCTCCTAGTTCTGTGCAACCAGAAATACATACACATCCTTATGACATCTTGGTAAGTAAGTATTATTCTTTTTTTACACAGATGTAGAAATATTGTTCTAACTGCAGAAAAGATGCAGGCTCTTGGGAGTTTTCTAGAAAACTGTACAACAGCAGAAGTGCTGAAAACATATACCAATGACATTTTCAATCACACATTAATCTAGCTTATGTCACAAAACAGAAGTTCCTTGTTACTAAATCCACTAAACATCTGTAAAAAGGAGACATCAATCTCCACAGTAAAATATTTTTGTTTCCAAATTTTATCTATCACTGTATTGAAATATTAGGATGTTAACTGAAAAATAAAATCCTAACTTTTAAATATTGGAAGAAAAAAATATTGTTAACCCACCACAAATGAAAACAATAAGAGGAATTGAAATTCCAGGTGATTAAGAAGGATAGCAAAACAAAAATATTATTGGTCTGCAATGAAAAACGAAGCTACAGGTATATGCAGAAATTTGGTATTATTATTCAAGCAGCATGTACAAAACATCATCTGTGATAGGTAACTGTAATTGCTTTGTCCATATAATTCCCAAATTCTAACCTACTAGAGTTCTTGTATTTCTTAACAGCTTTTCAGTTTCTCACTTGAAATACCACATTGAAATAACGAGCACAATTACAAGTTTTAAATATTTTAAGGTTTTAATGATTTCTCACCTGATAATGTTTTAGTGTGCCATTAATAAGAAGAGAAGACTGCTTTTCCACCCTTTCTGTGATCGCGTGAGCAACAGTGTAGTAGGACTGAGACCCTCTAGCACTATATTGCATGCTATATTCATCATCCACATCTTGTTTGGCTGTCCTGGAAAGCAGAAGAAGAACTAAAGTGAATTCCCACAAACAAACAAGTGTTTTTGATCACAGCCACATTCATATGTCTAAAGAAACACTGCAAATCCCCAACTGTCGCAAGTACACAAAGAGTGCAAGGTACTTTATGAACAGTACACAATTAGTATCAAACAATCATGTTCCTTCTCCTGCAGATGGTCATGCCAGAGCAGCTACCACAACTTACTGTAATCTAGAACAAGCTACTCTTGGTAAGCGCCACTGTAAGAAAACGCAATTTCTAATAAAAAACAGCACCTAAAGAACACTCACTCAATTATTTGCTTTGCATCTTTCTCAGAAACTTCCTCACTGTTAGGATCCAAGAGTATCTTCTCATCTGCTTCTAACCTGCTTGATTCTTCTTCATCATCCTACAGAATAAAGAAAAAGAAAAAGGCTACTGGGAAGTGCAACATCTTCCTAAGTCATACGTTCAACTAGCATGCACATACTGGTAGTTTTCAGTGGTCAGTGCTTTATGACAGAAGCCTGAATAACGAAGTTCAACTCACATCTATTCTGCAACAGAACTGCACTGCAGCATAACAAAAAGATAATTTTTGACATACATTAACCAACAGGAAATCATGGTACTTCAAAATAAAAAGTATTTTTCCCATTAATGATGTTATTTTTAAAAGTCTTACTTTGTCTACCGTGTTCATGAAGAGGATTCCAATACCATGTATATCCCATATGTGTGATAATTTAATAAAGCTTAAAAAACTGCCAAGAACTGCTGACTTAGGCTTCTAGTTCCTTAACTTTTTAAAAACAGAACACATTTTTGCTCTTTTTAAAATAACTGAATTTGTCTTCTGGCTACAGTTGCAACAGATAACCAACAACTTAAAATCTCACTAATGAAGCTGAACAAAACACTGCTCTAAATTCTGTCAAGTGTATTCTCCTAAGAATTATTTCCCTAGCTCTAAACAATATTGCTGCTGAAGAGCCTGTGCTAAAAATGCGGGCACATGTCTTTTAACATTCCTCATAGAATCTGACAGGTATCAAGTCCTCCTATCTTAATAATGAGAGTCTTGCAGAATTACATTAGCAGTAATGAGTCCTACAAAGGCATATACTTCAACATCATACAGTCCAGTCAGTTTCAGTGGTCACTTGGTCTGGCACTGTAAAGACTGATAGTCTTAGGAGGTCTGAATTCCATACCTAGTTCTGCTACTAGCATGTTGATTGAACATGTTCCTTCTGTTCTCCTCAGACAAGTATTGGTACTGATTATTCATAGTATCTAATATTACAACCCTGCACTGTTGGGACCTTTGGGTGTGTTAATTTTAAGGTACTTTTTAGAATTTTTGTAATAGTATTAAAATCACCATTAAAGTACTGAATCAAATAAGCCTACCCTGAACAGTCAGAACCTAAATCCCTGACATATTTCCTAACTCTTTAATAAACATACTATATAAATAATAGCCGTGTTATTCAGAACTGCCAATAAAACTTCCAATGCATAAACATTAAATATGTAAACTTCCTTCAGCACAAAGTCACAATACAGTCTTTTCTGACATATATTTTAAAATAAGAACCTGCCTGTAGTATCTGGTTCATGATTACTAATAGTCAGAGTAAAATATTTACTTTTCCTAACCCTGATTACCAGTTAGGCATTTGCAGCATATATAAAGGACAACTGCTTATGAATTGAAAAGAATTACAAAACCAGTTACTTTTCCTGTTTGTATTATTCTTAAACACTTACACACCTATCGCTTTCCCTTCCTTCCTTACGGAAAAGAGGAAAATACCACATGGAGTAAGTACTTATCTTTTACTGTAAAACTTGTCAAAGTATTTTTTAAAAAACACATACCTCCTCCTCATATTCAGAGCCACTTTCATCTTCGCTGTCTGACCTAGGAGCAACTTCATAGCTGTACAAAGACAACAGAAAAATTATGAAATACAATAACAAAAAGAGGGATTAGGTTCAGTATATCTCCTACCGAGCCTTCATATAATAACTCAAAAGTAGAATGGAATAGAACAGAACAGACTAGACTAGACTAGAAAAAACAAGAAAAAAATAATAACTAAGTCCATGTAAAATATCAACGCAAACAGAAAAAGTATCCTACTTGTATGCTAACTACTTACCCAGGGTTCATTTCCAGCCAAGCATCCAGCTGACTTGCTTTTGGTGCTTCTGGTCCAAGAAGAACTTTTCCTGTTTCAGTGTGAGTCACTTTGACTGGAAGGTCACTCATCTGACTGCTTTCATCTATAGGCTAAAATTTCAAATGAAATTTTATACCATAGGGTAACTGAATTTCATGCTTGTCATACGTAATAAAGAGAACTAACAGCACCTTCAAAATTCCAGATCTGAACATACATATGAAGTTTTGTTACCGAGCCACAGCTTCCCACATGGCTATCAAGCAAACACTGAGTCACAGTATTTCTGTGTGTAACATATTCTATGTAATATCCACAAATATATCACAGTATTCCAAATACATTAACATTAGCAGCATAGAAAAGAATGCGATGTTGGTTTCTGTGAAATGAGACACAAGGTATGTAAGCTCATAGGTATTTAAACCTGTTACTTAAACCAATGAACATCTGTAACAAAAAAAACACACTGACCTTATAACCTTTTCTTTCATATGCAGAAACAAGGATGTAACAATTTAGCTAACTTCTTAAGTAAAGAAGGTCTATTTTAAAGATTCACTGTCCTGACTTCTTCAATAAAGCTGATAAAACACCTGCAATAACAAAACCTTTTACCTGTTCTGGTGCTCTAACAAAACCAGAATACTATAATTAATTTTTCTGTTATTTTTTTGCCCTGTTTAATCAGAGATTTTCTACTTTAAAAACTTCTAGCCTTCTAATACTGTTTCTACTGAAGAATCTTTTCCTAATATATACATATGAAGAAGTAATTCTGAACTGTGGTAACTACAGTTACTGACAACATAAAAAACTTACCCCATTTAAAAAAATACTGATGTTTCAGGAATGTTATGTTCATTTTTCTTGTGTGACCATAACTATATTAAAGGATCTTGATGTACTCTTTAACTATATCAGCAAAAATATCACTTGCAAAAATATCACCCAAACTAAAACAATAAATATGATTCTTAAGTCTTTATATAAAAATAAATGGAAAAGAAAAACTGAATTAACAGAAGAGCTCTTAATGAGGCAGCATACGCTCTGCTACTGAATGAAAAATATCATTCCAAGAATGACACAGAAAAATTACACATTTACATTTGATTCTGAGGAAGAAAGAACTTTCAGATGTCTTAAGCCATCATACTACTATAGTCTGTCCTGTGTCTGAAAGGTAATTACATGCAATGTCAACAATATATTTTATAAAGATGAGAAGCTAGAATATATTGTGTTTACAACTTCATTTTAGAAAGTAAATTATGTCTAGACATGGACTGCAAGAAAACTATTCACTTTCAAGCATATAAAAAAGCTGAGAGGGTTTCTTCACCATACTCACTGACAGATTCAACATATTTTCCTCTTAATCTTCAACTTTCTGAAGGGAAACAGGCTAGCATAAATGTTAATCTAGATAATTTTTATTCCTGGTTCTAAACATCAGGTCTTCTTAGAACATCTGTGGTCATGAGGCTTTTTTAAGCTATAGCAATAGCACGCAGAACAATCACTGGAAAGTTAAAAAAAAACAAACAAAACGACTTTGTCCATACCTCTCCATCAGGACCAAGACCAGATGCCATTCCTTCTGCATTTTCTTCAGCCTTCTACAACAAAGGAAGTGAAAATATCATGGTCAGATTACAAGTATAAAGAGAATACTTTATATGACGTCAGCATTTTGGACCACAAATATGTTTCACTCTATTTCTGAATAGCCTGAGATGCATGTAATTTAAGGTGTGAGTGGATATAGGTAAAGACAGGCACAGAATTACTATTACACACAAACCATTTACTAGTATGAATATGGTACCTACAACACCTCTAGTCACAGTGACAAATCTGCTTCTAAGAAGTGGCTGGCCTACTGAATTTCTGGTCCAACCAAGTTGGACCTCAGCTGCTTGGACTGTGCTAATACAAATAAAACAGTAATTAATTTTTATGTGATTCACTACTGATTTCCTCTAACATGCTTTAATCTCAGATTCAGAGGTGTCACCTGGCATCACAGATTGTATATTTGTGTAGGCACTTCAATTTTTTTTTTTGTCTGAGAACTAGGAAGGGGTACCTTGGAAGTTCTTTGCTCAGTATCTAGTCTAGACCACAATTCCTCAAATTACAGACAAAGAGAACTCTCCAGTTCTTAGGTTTTTTCTTCTCCCCAAGCACCACTCCAAGAAATAAGCAGTGTCTTTGTCAAAGCCTGTCCTTATTTACCCCACTTAAAAATGTCAAGAGAGTATGAGAAAATTGATTACATAGTTCTGCTTCTCAGTTGGAAGCTTCCTAAACAATTCTGACAATGAGCAAGAAAGGATAGAATACAGCTTCTGCTCCTGTTGCAGTGCAGGGTTTGTAGTACTACAGCACAGCTTTATTTTGCTTACCAATGTAAACAGATCAGACTAACAACAAGAACAGATCTCTTAAATGGTGTTTTACAGATAAACAACTTCCAAATGCTGTTAATGTGTGTAAGAAACTTAGATAATTCTGGTTTGGGATGGTTTTTTTTAAGAATACTACTTAAGGAATAGTTGCACTTCTGAATATTGAGATGATCCTCAACATCTGCGTCAGATCAAGCCTTGAGTCTTTGTCTTTACCATTAAAATCCATTTTCCAAGGCACAAACTTCAAATGAACATGCACCAGCAGACATGGGTTACTTCTACTTTTTAAAAACTTATACTCTTATTTCTTTTACATAGCCTTCATACTTCAGGACACGTGCCTAATTATCTTTGTTAACTATTCTTTCACTAGAATTACCAAAAACGGAAATCTGGCTAAGCTCAATTACAGTCTAAAGCCTTTAAAATATTACGAAGTATAATACTCTTTAATATCCAAAAAATAACCTGAAGGAGAGCTTTATAAATACTTCACTGGGCAACACAAATGTCATTGGTCCTACTCAATGCAACAATAGATGATGCTCAGCAAGAACAACATCAAATATGAGATTGAAGGCTGCTTGCTTCAGCACTCCTGAGCAGTAGATACGTTTGCTGGCATATAAAGGAACTCTCTCAGAATCGAAGAGTTTAAGTAAACAGAGGGGCAGACAAGTTACAGTAGCATATATCTGGCCTCGTCTGAACAAGCTACATTGACTGAGGATATTTTTTGAACAACTGTATTGGGTTTGTGATGCAAGGTTTTGGTAGCAGGAAGGGGGAACATGGGGTGGCTTCTGTGAGAGAAGCTGCCAGAAGCTTCCCCCATGTCCAGCCAGACACAGCCAATGCCACCAGCTCCAAGATGGACCCGCTGCTGCCCAAGGCTGAGCCCATCAGTAACACCTCTATGATAACATAATTCAGAAAAAAAAAGGCGAAGAGAGGAAAAAAAAAAGCATAAGAATATAGGATTCACTTGGGTACTATATAATGTGAGCCTGGCAAAGACAAGAAGTGCTTCTTCATTGCCATTTCTAGGAGAAAATCCTAAGAACGCTCCTCTCTCATTTCTCTGTAAGTACAAAACATTTAACTACAGGTGCTAATAGATTAAACTGTGTTTTACCTGGATCACAGAACATGAAAGGCTAAGTATTTGAAGTGTGTGACTCAGAAAAAGACACAGTGTCCACTAACTTCAATGAGTGTTGCAGCCACGCAACAATGAATTCATACAATTATAAATTAAAACAAAGGGTAGTATTTGTGTGCACTCCTGTATCCTTCACAGATGAGAAAAAGCTTGGTGGAAAGTACTTAATTACAAACAAAAGCCTGCAGATAATCAAGACAGAGTTGAGATTTTTGTGTGCTAATCTTCTTCTAGGTTTTAGTTTGGGAAATTTCCAAGCACTGAATACTTATGAGGCATATTTCCTTTTTATGTCAGTGACAGAAAATTGTATTTTTATTGAGACAGCCAGAAAATACTCTGTTCCTCATACATACTTCAGCTAAACTGACATAGAAATAGAACCATTCCACAGATGTGGATTGTTGAAGGAATTAATAGTTTTCATTAGAGCAGCACATTTACTCCAAATACTATCTCATCTCTACTGTGAATTCTGTACATTACATCAGGTTTATTCTTACTGCTAATACAGGTCAAGGACCCTGTTTAATTTACATCTTAACTCGGTAAGCAGGGGATTGTTCCTAGGTTAAGAATATATTCTCAACAAAAAGTACAGAGGTTTTGGAGAGGGATAGAAGATGGAGCATTTTGTAGGCCATTAATCTCCAAAATTAGAAATTTTTTATATGCTAGTATTTATTAGTATATTTAGAGTGATGCTTCTAAACCATGTAAATATGTTTATATTTGTATCAGTAATTAGTAGCAAACCAGGCATGGAACTGGATTATAAAAATCCTCTTATCCATCCTGCCAGGGATGAAAGGGACTCAGAGGTCACAAAAATGACAAATCATTATTTTTTTTAAAAAAGCACTGTTCAGTTTCCAAAACGAGTCTCTCTCACGGGGTAAAATATTTCATATGAAGAAAGGTAATTTTGAAAGGCTTCAATTAAGCAGAATACTACTGGCAGAATACCCATTTACTATAATAAACCTACCCAAGTTCTTTCTCTCCAGCTGTTTCCAATGGTCCTACAAAAAGGACTGAGCCAAGTGTAGAATGTGGAGGTCTAAAAATGTTACCCTGTATGAAACAGCTACACAAACCAGACTTTTCCCATCTTCTTCATACAACGTATTTTGGATCCACTGGATCCTTTTTGGGTACTTCAATCCTAATTTATATGTCTGACTCAATTTTACCTGTAGAAAGTTTATCAGCAAATAAATGTTACAGCCCACAGTTTTCTAACCCTGCCTCCTTCTCACCTTCTTTGGAATTAATGATAGTAAATTTCTTACATATTTCAGTGCAGAGTTCCCTCAGTGTTAAGAATTTGTCAGTGTAGATGATTTTAGCTACTCTGGTATGTGTATGACAATTGGGTATCACGACATTTATCAACATTAAAACATGAAAATTGGATCTGGAAGAAGAGGAGCACTAAAAACACCAGCAGTAACTACTTGCCTTCTTTCTTCTCCTTCTCTTCTTCTTCTCTTTGGCTGCTTGTGCCTGTTTATGCTCCCATACCAGGTTAGTCAAGTTAGCCACATACTCATCTGTCTGCTGCAACAGGTAGGCCAGACGTCTATCTTTCTTTTGGTCAATCAGCTTACGGTAGCCTTCTTCATCTTCAGCCTAGCAATACAAAGCAGACAACAGTCATGACAGAAGTGCTTCTAAAGAAACACCAACCAATTCTTATGTCAATAATCACGTGTTATCTTAGTAAGCTCATTTTAATCTGCATAGGTAGACAACTAGACGGGTAAAGAACTTGTCAGATGATCAGGCCCAGAGGGTCATACATTTATGTTAATGGGTCACAGAATCAGAGAATCATAGAATGGTTTGCGTTGGAAGGGACCTTAAAGATAATTTAGTTCCAACCCCCCCCTGCCATGAGCACGGACACCTTTCACTAGACCAGGTTGCTCAAAGCCTCATCCAACCTGGCCTTGAACACTTACAGAGAGGGGACACTCACAACTTCTCTGAGGAACCTGTTCTAGTGTCTGACTACCCTCACAGTGAAGAATTTCTTCCTAATATCTAATCTATATCCACCCTCTTTCAGTTTAAAACCATTACCCCTTGTCTTATCACTACACTCCCTGATAAACCGTCCCTCCCCATCTTTCCTGTAGGCCTCCTTCAGGTATTGGAAATCTGCTATAAAGTCTCCACAGAACCTTCTCTTCTCTGGGCCAAACAGCCCCAACTCTCTCAGTCCATCCTCATAAGAGAGGTGCTCCAGTCCTGTGATCATTTACATGGCCCTCCTCTGGACCCACTCCAACAGGTCCATGTCTGTCTTATGCTGGGGGCCCCAGAGCTGAGATAATACTCCCAGTGGGGTCTCAACAGACCAGAGCAGAGGGGCAGAATCACCTCCCTCAACCTGCTGGCCACTCTTCTTGTGCTGCAGCCCAGGATACAGTTGGCCTTCTGGGCTATGAGTGCACATAGCTACCTCATGTCCAGGTTTTCATCCACCTCCAAGTCCTCCTCTGTAGGGCTGCAGAGGGTCATACTCTATCTGGAGACAGTAAGAAGAGGGATACCACAGAGGTCTGTCCTGGGACGTGCTATGTTTAACATCTCTATCTGTGATACAGAGGAAGAAACTGAGGGCACTCTAGTCGACTAAAGTTTGCAGATGCCACCAAACTGGGGGATATCAGTCAATGTGCTCAAGGACTCTGTTCAGAAGGACTTGAACAGGCAGAGAAGCTGTGGCATTTCTGACCTTAGAAGTTTTCAAGACATGAATGAAAAAATCCTCGAGCAACCTGCTTTGAGCTCGATGTTGACTCTGCTTTGGGAAGGTGGCTGGACTACAGAGCTCCCTGACAGCCTGAGTGACTCCTGGATTTGTGAACTCTATGATCCAAAGTATCTCCTACTCTCATGGACTAATGACTGCAAAACCCACAGCAGTTACAACAGGTAAGGGGGGGAAAAAAAAAACAAAACTTAATGTCACATCAAACAAATAACAATGTCCCAGAACAGAGATGCTTGGTAAGTCTCCTACAGAGATGATTTTTCAATGACATAAAGTGTAGGTTGCCCATACCTAGAAAAAGAACATGGGAGCTGGATGCAGACTTGCGTTTAGTACTTTTATCAGTATGAATAAAAATCTTTTACTTTTAGATATTAGAATAAAATTTTATTTTGGTCAGATATCTATCATCTTTTACTGTTTTTATTTCATCTTTAAGAAATGCCCTAGGGCCTAAACATCTATTATTCTCCTATGCAAGTCCTTCATTTACATCTTACATGCACTTTTATTTCTAAGTCTTTATTACTTTTATATTTAATTATTTCTACAGTTCATTTGTGATTTTTAAAGCCAAATTGTTCAGCTATTATTCATGGTGGGAACAGATTCTGGAGGTGGACTAAAGTTTTGCGTTACACCTGCACCCATATTAGATACTTATTGTTTTTTGCCAGTATATTTCAAAGCAAGAATGCCAATTCCCATTCAATTCTATGTTGGTAAAGTGTTAATAAAGCATTAAAAAGAACTAACCAATGTCTTGAAGAATTTTTTCCAACCTCAGTTGCTAACATACTTGTGCATAGGCATTAATCTGTCTACACTTTAAATTCCAGAATTATTTAAACTCCTGAAATGTAGACAGCCTATTGATTGGTTCTACAACATTCTTAAAAGACATGATTATAGACAAACCCACTCTGATCTGTCCTAAGAACAATACAGCTGATGCTGTGCAAGTCCAAGGAAGGGAAACTATGAAATAGCAAGAAAGAGTATGGTCCTTAATGGGTAGAACTGACTGCTCTTAATTCTCAAGATACATGCATTACTGCTACCAGTTATGTATTTCTGCATGTGAAATCAGCTTTATGTAAAAGTTGACGAGTAATGCCAAGAACAAGTTAATCATATGTAATCTTCAAAACTATGAACCTAGAAATAAAACACAGTCCAGTATTTATATAATGGACTAATACCCCTGCAATTATGAAACAGTTTTAGTACATGAAGTTAATGAGATTAAGTGATGTTATACAGAAGTGGTTGTGCTAAGTTCACATGCCGGTAGAAAAAACAACTATTTTTATCAAAACCCTTAGAAAAAGAAGTAGCTATAGGTTAAAATGAACAGTGTTACATTAACTACTATCATCAGAAATACACATAACCACACTGCAGTAGTTTTAAATTTGTACTTTTTGCATTACAGAGCCTTTGCTCTGCAAAGGAAATACAAAGATGTGGCTGAGAATGCATATGAAATATTATAAAGGATACAGTAGGCAATTTTAGCCTAAATAACCATATTCCTTCCTCTATTCCTTACCATTAGTCTCCTCATTCTTTCTTTCTCAATTCTCTCAGTTTCTTTCTTCTGCTCACGCTCAGTGTTGGCATGCCAAGTTGCCACAGCTTTAGAAAGTTTCTGAATTTTTCCAGCAACTGACCGGTGGTACTCTTTAAAATCTTTAGCATGCTGCAATATGCTATTCAGGTATTCCTAGAAACAGAAACAAGTTAGTGCAGGCACTGGGACAAAGCACAGTATTTGAAATCAGGAATACAGAAGTTATAACCTTATAGTTTTCCAGTTGCTTATCACATGATTTGGAGCTTTTTAATCTTAGAAACATCAAAGTTAAATAAAATATGTAATAGAGAAGATGCACACAAGATGCAAGGTGCATTTCTGTCATGGGACAAACAGCTAAAAAGTTAAAATACCTGGTGCTTCTGCCTGCGCTTCCTCTCCTGTTCTATCTTCTGCTGTTTCTCAAGCTTTTCTGTCATACGGGCCTCCCTCAAAGTCTGGCGCTTGCTTCGTTTGTAGGCTTTGGAGTTCAGTGCTGTCTCCAGTGTTGTGTCACGACGCATGCAGGCTACCACCTCTTGTCTCAGCTACCAGGGGGGAAAAAAGAAATACTTAAAAAAAAATAATCATTTTTAATACATGGAGAAACAACTTTAAACACTTGGTATGGCAGAGTAAAACAGTAACAGTCTAGAAGATGACCCACCCTCCTCTTCTCTTTCCATTACAGATCTGAAAAGATCCAGCATCTATACAATTGCAGCAGCTATGTCTGTCCCTCTGAACAAATCTTAAGTCTCCACAGGATGGCCAAAAGTGTTAATCACTCTTAATTACCATTTCTTCCTTCTTTACAAGATGGGGCAAATGACTGTCTTGCTGCAATGAAAGAGGCTAGCCAAGATGTTACACCTTCAAAGTAAAACACAAATGAACAACGTACTTCCTAGAGCTGGACCTGAACACAGCTGCCAACTTGTTTCATTGTCAGCTGCACAGGAGACAGCAGGGAGAGGTAAATATTAAGGGCTTGGAACAGTATTGACACAGTCCCAGCAGTAGAGCAGGGAGAGCCTGCTGTACTGCTGCTTTTCAGCCAACCTCTGACAAAACTTCATTACAAAGGAGTGCCAAGGGGAGAGGGAAGGAAGACTTGGACATCATGGTACAACTACTGCCAAGGCTTCTTCTGTCAGGAAGCACTGTTGCTTGACCTGCCAAATCACTTCTTTGTTCTTCCAAATTAGCTGGAAAAGCCAATGGCAAGAAGCCCGTAAGAGTCTGGCCATGTGACTCCTTTTCTGAATCTCATTTGCTGATACATGCACTCAACATCTAATTTGTATCTTAGGTGTGATCTTGCTATGCTTAATTTTCAAAGTCTGTGTGCCACAGCAGAAATCCTGAAAACAGATCACAGAGAAATACCACAACACCACCATACAACTCTTCCTAAAGTAACAGGATTCATGACAAATATGAAGTATGTCCATAAAGAGGTGCCTGTTGGGATTTGTGTTGAAAATCAGCTTGTAGCTTGTCCAGCTCTTGTTTTGTCTTTATGCCAATGCCATGTTCATTATAAGAGACACAGTTCTATGGTTACACTTTAAACTGGAAGATAAAGCAGGAAGAGGAAAGAACACTTGCACATTTTTATTAAAAAAAAAAAAAATCTATGTTAAACGTGTCTGTGACTTGCTTATCAGTCAAGTTTGCTCTCAAGTAAAATCTCCTACTCAGTAAAAAGTTCAGTGTTGCCAGTTTCTTCTGTGCTACATGAACGTGCTTGTCTGTGACCTCTATGAGAATTTTTGTGAAGCAAAAGGCATTACCTGGCGTTGGAAATTCAGTAATCTAAGTGCCTTCAACTCCACTGTAGCTTTCGTTCTCAGATCAGGGGGTAGAGAACCAGGCAAGTTCTCCAGTTCCTGGATTCTGTGAGCAATTCGAGCCTGAAGCCTATGTAGACAGAAAATTGGACAAGACACAAGGATAAATCTCTAAGTGGTTATCTAAATTATACAGTAAAAATAGGCAATTTATTTCAAGGCATTTATTTGGCTTTTACTAATTGTTTCTGAACTAACAGGCTTTTGCAGAGATGACATTAGGTATCCTTCTTCACTTTGAAAATAAATTGTCAAATAAAGAAAACACCTCTTGGCCCTTCTTTTAATTTTGACTAAAAATACATGCGTGAAAAGAAACTTGGGAATTTTATTTTACTCATACTATACAGGACTCTGTTTTCAAGCTTCTTTGATGGTTACTATTTTATGCACAGCATCGTCAGTGATGACACAGAACTTTCCTTAATATCTGGAATTCTACCCTTTTAATTTTATTGACAAATGAAAAGTTCATTAGTAAAGTATTCACATTTACATAGCTGTTACACTGTAAATCAGATTCTATTTCATTCTTCCTTTACAAGCTCCTTTTGCATTCATTTGCAACTTCAAGAAAGAGAAAAAGAGAGAATAATGGACAAGCTATACAGAACGTAGTTTTTTTGTACTTCTTACATTGAAAACTAAGATCACAGCGCTAATAGTTACATCGTTTTTGTGGTTTCTTTTACAAGTAAGTACTCCTGTGAACTGCAAATTTTGCCAAGGCACTAAAACAACACACCCCAAAATTTTAAGTTACCCAAAAGTTGCATCTAAGTTCAACTGGAACACTGCCCTCAACCAAAAAAAACTCCAACCAAAACCAAACACACACTGCTCCTCCCACCCTCCCCCAAACCAGAGAGTCCTCTCTCTCCCAAAATCAAAAACGTAAAGGCCCAGGAACAGGAAAGTATCTCATCTCCCTGTACCGCAGAGGACTCACAAAATTTCCTTTTTCTTTACTTTGACAAAGCACAAAACATCCGACCACATTAGAAAAAGATGCCTGCTGCTGTTCTCCTGCAATGAGGACTTTGGAACTGCCATGAAGGGAGAAAGAAAATACCTTTTAGAAGGCTTCTTTGCATACAGTGATTGTTCTTCCCCTGCTCTTTCACCCTGTCATCACCCCATAGTATTAGCTTAGCAACATAAACTCCCATACACTCAACAACTTTACCTCGCAACTGTAAAGCAGATCAGAAATCAGGCAAAATGGCTGCACTGGATACACAGAGTCAGAACAAATCAAATACTAGTATCTCACAGTAAATGCATGCATCACTATTTATGTATAATCTGAAAAAGAACTGCAATCACTTGTACATTTGCAGACAGTATCTCTTCTGTAATAGTACTCCTTCCTAAAACCACTAAACTTCCTAAAACTATGCATTTTTCTATATTACTGAAAGACTTCTGAAGTTCTTGGAATAACAAAAAGGAGGTAATGCTGCATTACTACAGAAGACTAACAGCGTCCTTAAAGAGAACAGGAAATTGAAGCAGAGTTAGGTTACTTAAATTTTTCATACAGACTGAAAAGTAAATCAAGGAAGGTCACTACCTAACAAGAAGTTTCGTGAAAAGCTACAGACATTTGTCCAGGCCCAGGGAATTTAATGATTCCTGCAAGAAAATTATTCATTTAAAAAATGACACTGGCATTTTTTTTTCTTTCAAGTGTATGTACGATACTAAAAAAGTCCACATTTTGTACAACTTCACCTGTCACTGGTTATTCCAGTTATTAAGAAAATATTTTTGTGCACCTAAGGGTGCAAAATCTTGACAACTAAGTGGTTTTCTTAGAGACTAGATGCACTAATGTACACGCATACAAAAAAAGCAGCCAAGATGTACAAAGAGAACACTGTTCTAAATCACTGATGGGTGCTCTGTCTGTTGCTTATTCACACATGGATGTAATCATGCATCACTACTATGATTTATTACTCTATTTCACTCCCCAAATAGCTGCAATGCTTCCCCTGAAACTATCACCTTACAAAACAGTTATAGTCAAATCCTAGTTTCACTGACTTTGACGAAACTTTAGGGGAGCAGTCATAACCTTTCCAAACTTCTCTACTGAGCTGTGAACTTAGTAAGGCAGCTGAATACTGAACATATTTTCAATTTTTTTTTCTTTTTTGTCAGCATTGAGTGTTCCTTCTTGGAATATGCACAAGTATGAGCACAAAAAGTTTATTGAGGTTCTTCCTAACACAGCTTATGGTTTTAGATAACTAAATGGATGAGTCATTTTGCATACAAAAATGAAGTGAAATGTCCACTTATTAGTTCTGCCAGAATTGGCTTGTTACTTTAACTCCAGGTACAAAATTGGTGAAAGTTCCTGGTGACGTAAAAGTTTACACAGGAGAAATTCAAGCAATAGCCATCATTGGGCTGGGGTTTATATTTCTGTCGTCTAAATTATTAATAAAAATCCACATATATAACTTTCTTGAGATATAACTAAACATAATGCAAGCTTATAGAGTAGGCTTATTACGTCATATCATCACACTAAGCAGTCCACCCCATATGAAAAACTTGACACTGCTAATAATTTTCTTTGCTTTTCTCAACTTGAATTTATAAAAAGGCTGATCAGAAGTAAATGCACATGAAATTCTGTCATTAAATTATAGCACAGTTAGTATTTCCAGCGTAACTTCTCCTCCAATTTTTTTCCTCCATAAGCTGAAATGATAGCAAAAACAGAGGTCTGCACTCAGCTACAAACAATGACACCTCTATGCTTTTGTGGGAGGTTACTCTACTTTTATAATCCAGCCAGAGGGAAGGAATAGGAAAAAAAAATATTAAAAAATCAGTATTTCTAAGTTAGTACAGATACCATGTCAGAAAACTCCCATTGAAACTTTTATTAAAATAAAAGTCCTGGTCAAAAACGTGTAAATACCAATGAAAAGCTACAGCACACATATGGAAGAATAAAGAAAAATTATATAAAACAGAAAAGGAACATATTTTGAAGTTTCATTTCAGAATTTCCTAGAAGTAGTAACAACAGTGTCTGGGGTACTAACAATAGCAGTAACAGTAGCAGTATTTTCTTGAGCAGCCAGTAGGTTTTTTAAAAGAATTTCACAATAAACATCTCAACTCAAGAGAATGCAACAACTGCTTGAGGTCTTTCTTACCACAACCAGTCTTTAAAGAGAATGGCTGCAGTTTGTTGGACTATTTCTATTGTTATGGAAAAATACTATTAGGTAAACAGAATCCAAAGATGCTTTTTACAAGCACTTGAAGGATATAATCTCATCGTTTAGAGGATACATTTAATTAATCGTTGCAGTTCAGTAATTTATCTTCATTCATGTAGAAAGTGGTTAGTGTATCTACAGAGAGATCTCTTTGCAAAACAAGAGATGCACACCGCTTCCTCATTAACTGAGGTCAACAGCAGAGGATATGCCTGCACATTCAAACCTGTCTGGCATGGATGCCACGTGGTGAGCCATGAAGAGAAATAAGAAGAGACTTTGCAGATAACAGAAAGAAACCATGCACAATCTACAGGACACTAGCAAGTGTATTTTTTTGTAACTAGCAATGAGAAGGTGGAAAAAAGCCCTTCCACATAACAGAACAAGTTTAAATTACACACATCATTAGCTTTAAGAGATCTATTCAGTGAGATTAAAAAGCAGCACTTTGTTTAGAAGAAAGTGTTAAGGAGAGGTTTATGAAAGCCTGGTATAAATTCTTCATTCTGGCCAGATTTCAAGGAACACAAGTTTAACAGCTCTCCACGTATGAATAATTTAAACTTATTTTATTAGTAAGAATTTTAAATATCTAAGTTTCTTTTTATCCACCTTTAATCACAGACATTAACAATTATTATCATATAATCTCACCTCAAATCAACATATGCTGCAAATAGCTTCTCGGTAAAACCGTGTGACTTTGACAGCAACATTAACTCTCCATTTTCCTTCTCTTTGTTAATATATGCTGGAGTCTTTTTTTCTAATTAGATCAAGGCTTTTCAGGCTGCTGAAGTTTCATAGATTCAAGGATTTTTCAGATCTCACAATATGTTAATAGGTGCATTACTGCTCCTCCATCTGTACTGGTCTATTTAGCAGACGGTTAATGAATAGGAATACCATACTGTACCTCTAAATGCCTAGTTGATTAATTGTTTGATGAAACAAACTACATAACTTCCTAGTAACAAGGAAAGAAGAATTGCTATCATTGAAAAAAAACCAACTTAGATGTAATTTTCTAACAGCAAAACCTAAAGTATTTCACATTTACGATATTATCCTATGTGTAAGACATGCTGTAATACATAAATCATGTACATGATCCATTAAGAAACCGGAATGTGGATGCAGTAGCATGTATTCTCCCACAAAAGTCTGCCATTATGCACTTGAGAGGTGTGTATACTTCAAGAGAAATGTCAAAACATGTCAGCAATTAACTTTTTATAATGTAGTTCATGAATTAGCAGTAAGTTACTGTCTCCCCAGCAGCACACTTCACACCATTAGTCCAGAAACACCATGTTCAAGGTCACTAGTTTAACCCTGGCCAGCAACTAAGCATCACACAGCTGCTCACTCACTCCCCTCCCACCCTTGGTGGGACTGGAGGAGAATCAGAAGAGTAAAGGTGAGACAGAAACTCATGGGTTGAGATGAAAATAGATTAATAATTAAAAGTAAGTATTTTTTAAAAAATTGTAAGGAAAAGAGAGAAAAAAATAAAAAAGAGAAAGTAAAATAAAATGAAAAAAGACAAGCAATGCAAATGAAAACAATTGCTCACCACCAAACAATCGATGGTCAGGCAGTCCCCAAGCAGTGGGCCCTTGCCAAGCACCCCGCCCCCCAGTTTTACTGCTCACCACGATGACATCACATGGAGTGGAATATCCCTTTGGTCAGCTGGGGTCAGCTGTCCCAGCTGTGTCCCCTCTCAGGCACCTCCAACCTACACGCTGGTGGGGCAGGCTGAGGAATCGAAAAGGCCTTGACGCTGTGTAAGCTCTGCTGAGCAGTAACTAAAACATCAGTGTCCTATCAACACTATCTTCAGCACAAATCCAAAATATAGTCCCATACAAGCTACTATGAAGAAATTTAGCTCTATCCCATCCAAAACAGCACAGTCACTGACTAAACCTAATCCGGAATTTTCAAGAATTCCTAACTTAATCAGATCTGAAGCTCAGACTTTCCCACAATAAGGCAGTATATCTAAATTTTACGTTTTGGGTCTATCTATATTTTTTTAAATATGAACCCCTAAAATACCCATGTCATAATCTTGTCTTTTCATGAAAATGAGTAATTCAAACAGTTTTCTAGATATTTCAAAGTATAATGCCCCTTTATTAAAAACAGAAGTTAAGTCCTGAGAGATCTCAACAGACAACTGTTTCACAAATCTTCCACTAACTTCACTGGTTTCAGGCTACAAATGTTTATATTGGCTTTTTTTTACTCCCTTTTTATGAAGAAACTGTGAATACATCATGTTTCTGTATTAAGCCTACCTATACTAAAGCTAAGTCTAGTACTGTCCAAAGCACAAAAGCTGTTAAATTCCTTTCTTCAAAGCTTTCATCTGATGTTACTTACACAGTTTTAAGTAACTAAAAGAATTCCAGAAGTTCTAAGCATTCCGGTACACAAAGCAAAACCGAATTCCAGCAGTGTTCAACATTAGAAAAGCTTGGATCATCATCCATGTGTTACCACAAAAAATAAAACCCTTCTGCTGAAGAATCCCTATCAAAACTTGCACCTCACTTACTCTGCCAAGAAGACCAAGGTTTTTAGAACCTAATGGATATGCTGTATCTGCAACTGATTGTCCACACTAGGAAATGCAACACCGCTATCTTCTGTCTCTCCTCACTTTCCTCCACTTATGCATACTAAGACATAATATTTTGGTACAAATAGCACAATGGAGCAGGGCTGGAAAGACAGAAGGAGTAATAATTTGAGGTTAACTGATGCAGAAAAAGTTACACTACACTGGCCACATGATTCTTGGCTAAGGTTACTTCTACGATGCTTCACTCAGAGAAAATGAGAAACTGTATAATGGTGCATGTTCTACAAGCTTTCTGAAAAATCTTAGAAAATAGTGACTGCTCTTGCTGAAACAGCCATGGTCATTCTGCCCTAACATAAAATGTGTAAGACTGACAGAATGACCACAACAACATGCCAATAAATTAATTGAGCATTATCTTATGCAAAAAGTAAGAGCTTTTCTGGGATCAAGGCCTGGATTCTGGACATGGCACTGCATCCTAAAACACTTCATGGTGTTTAAGCTTTGTAAAGCAGAAGTCATTAAACCAGTCTTCAGTGAGACCATCATCCCTTTCTGCTTCCTTCCTCTACAAACTCATTGTTACAGAAACCAATAGATGCACCATCCATCCAAAACAAGCAAATACACTAAGTGCAGTTTCTTTCCTCTGACTGATCATGATCAGGAACAAATTTTGGGTGCATGTAATGATCCTCCTGCTTGGCACATTCTCAAGGTTAATTGTTTAATAGTCTTGTTGATGGGAAGAGGGAAGAAGTCGCTTTCTAACTCCACAAGGAATGTCATGCTCCTTACTTTGTAATGAATACAATTCACTATCTAATTAGGGCACTCATGAGGCAGCTTTTAAAAATCATGCTTCCTGGTAACCTTTTTTTTTTTTAAATCTTGCATGTAACCTCCTCAAATACCCTCCCTACTCTTGTGTTTTGGACTCTTAACTCACCAGCCCTTCGATCTCCACTGTTCTTTCCCTTTTGTTTAGAATTCTGAAAACTTTCTACACTGAATTGGTTTCTCTGTAGACTACAAGGATTTTGACTTCCTAACTTTGAGTGTGTGCAGCATCCAAGTAATACACTAACCCAGTAGAGTCCTTGAGCCTGCTTTAAATTTACCTGGTTTGCAATGATACTGACAGTATGCTTTACTAGTTCATAACTTGGGGTAGAATTAAATCATTGTTTGGTGTGACGTTTCCATACTTCTCTTTGACACAGTCTCTCTCTGGAAACTCAATTTATACTATTGTCACTGCAGTAGTGGATTGCAAGGAGTTCTAGTTGAGAAAGCGAAAAATAACAATCTGTATATGCAGTGATTTGCTTTTACCTGTATTCACGTTCTTGGAGTATTTCAACAGGATCCAATCCTTGTGGCTTCTGGATAGGGCTGATGCGATTCTGCTTTTGCTGCAGCTGAACGATGGGTGAAGGCTGTCCTGGTGGTGGCTGTGGTACAGAAGGTCCAGGCATGGTGGCAGCAGGCTGGGCAGCAGGGGGTGCAGGAGAAGGCCTCCCACTAGGAGGTGGTGCGGGAAGCTTTTGCTGCGCATTGGAGACGCTCATATCTGGGGCTTGGCCTGAATCATAAAAAGTACTTATTCATAACATGAAATACAGAATGCAAGAAGAAAATCAAGACCATTTCTGAAGACAGACCATGAAGCTAAGGAAAACGTTCAAAATTAACAGAAGCACTGCACTGAGACTACAGTCTGTATTTAAAAAAAACATACTAAAATGTAAGTATACATTGCAGGAGTGCTCCCAATTAAAACAAAACACTTGAAACTTTATGACAAATGCTGTTTCTTTTCCCATTCCTGCCTTTAATTTTAGTGTTAGAAGAAAGAAAACAGCTGTAGATCTGATTTTGTGCAAATGTAGGACCTAATTCTGCCTCTCATTCACTATCCTTGCACCAGTTATAAGGCGGCATCTATAATCACAGCCTGACTACAAGCACAAGTAGGTCTGCTTTTAGAGTCCTAGCAGAGCTAGATAGTCATATTAAAATTTCTATAACTGAACTTAGAAGTACCTGTCATATACAAATAGCCTTTTTTCATTATGATCTCCCATTAATTTTATTTAATTATTTCAAATACCATGAATTTGGTTACTGTTTTACCTTACAGTATTCTAATCATCCTGAAAATTAACACCTCAGTTAACATGAAAATAGTACCTGCCATTTATAGACACTAAGGGTCATAGATTTCAGTTCATTACAACAACCAGTCAGCCATGCATTCAGATTTCAAAAATTGTTACTGACAACAAACATTGCAACAATAAAGATGTTACTCAGTTGTCTAAGGAGCCATAGTAATTTCATGCTAGGAAAAACAACTACAAAGTACATGTGCAATCTTGTAATCAACCTTAATTCAAACCCAACGTCCTGAAATCTAGATAAAAAGATTCAGATATCATCACACAGCTGCATCAAACTCCAGAAAAGGAACTTCAGTAGAAGCTGTAGATTCTGTATCTAGCAACACTGCATTTCAGCTTATAAAAAATAAGGAAAGAAAGCAAGCCCACCAAAAGCCTTTGTGTAGTCTCAGTTTTCAGGGAATTATACAAACTGAACTGTAAAACAAACACTACCATGGATAACTGCATAATGAATGAAAAATAAATGTAAAGAAATAAGCACAATCTTTAAAAATACATGAAATAAAACCTCCAAACAGATACAGCAAAGATAGACAAATTTTTTCTTATAAAAAACCATCAATGAAAAAAGACAAACATAAGCCGCTTATAGTTAAACAGGACAGACATATTATTATGACATACTGGATTATTTAGGTAAAACTATCCATCTAGCAATTCTGTGTACTTGCCAGCATTTTTTAGTAGCAGCATTTGAGCTAGAAGGCACTGTGCCTGGTAAACTCATACATACAACCTCTCAGGAAACACTTTTCCCTCTCTTTATTATCTTACTCAAATTCTAAGTATTTGTTGGGAGTACTCCAAGAAAAGCAATTCTACAACCTGATTACATAGTAGTATTTAATTTTCTTTTTATATTCCTCTAAGTAACTAATGACAGAGATTTTTTTTTTTGACATCAACTAGTAGAGTTATCACTGTCCCCAGAATTACCCACAAGCAACAACATAGCATAACATTTCTACCATATGAGAAGCCTGTGCTATTTGCAAGTCTGTAATATTGTATTTCTTTCTAAATCTCTCTCTGAAAAAAACCTTCAAACTTCAAACAATATAAATTACTACGGAGTTTTAATTATCTTCCATACAATACTTCTTCCACTCTACTTTCATACAATAAAATCAGTCCGTAAAACCAAATCTGAATTATTTGTTTATGAACCTGATTATCACGCAAGGGAAAAAAAGTTACACTGTTCATCAGATCTCAAAGACTACACTGCACTTTCAAAGCAATCCAATTAAAAAAAAAAAAACAAAGGCAGACTAATTCTACCATGGTTTGAAAACTTCTGTTTACAGTAGCAAAGACACAGTTAAAAGACAAGCTTGCTGCAATTAAGCATGCTCAGAACATAACTTACTAAGTAATTTTTATGGCTGTCCCTCAGGCAGTTCACATATTTCATTCTGATGGTAAAAAGGTGCTTCATGTTCAAGTTGCCTAACAACTGTAGTAATTTCATGTGGTTAAGTCACTCATGGACATACACATGGTTAGACTCTCCTTGATTCAAGTTCTGGGCACAGTAAAGGTTACACTATTTTTCTGCATGCCTTTCACTTTCCCTTTTTTTTTATGCCTGCATCTTTTCCCCAACTCTACTCACACTGTTTAACTATAAATCTGTACATGACAAAAAATTAGCATTAGAGGCTGCTATACCTTCAGTCCAAGTTTTAGGGGTAATGGCAGCTGTATGTCCAGGCATCCCTGGAGCAGGCCCCACCACTCATTGTATGTAACCCAATACCTGCAATTTGACAGAGGAAAGAAACTTATTAACATACAAAGCATTTCCAAGTATTCAAAAATCATTTTGCTTTCTAGCATGCTAGTCTATTCAGGCAACTAGGATTTTTCTACATTAAATATGGATTCAAATAGATTTTATTGTGAAAAAAGTATGTAATGAAGCATCTTAAAATAATGTGTCCTAAAAAAACCTTACGTGGTACTAAAGCCATATCCACTGAAATGACCAGTAAAATTATTAAAATCATTACTAAAAAGAAAATAGTATAATCTCACCCTTGACTTCTAATGCAAACTCAGTAATATAAGAGTTCAGAAACAAACAGGTGCAGGGTGTTTAATGTAACATGGTTTTCTTAGGATCAAAATGTGCTTTTGTGTGTTACTGTACTGTCACATCTATTACCATTAGGAGAAAAAAATAAGAACATTTTCTTTTCCTTATGTTTTTCACTTGACAGCACACTATACATGGTTTGTTTTACTTTCAACAACTTAAATAATCAGTGAACTGGCTCCAAATTTTTTATCCACTTCTCTGCATAGTGACAGAAGACTGAAAATTCACTTTACAAAAACCAGTAAAATGGTGATCAGTAAAGTATGATTAACATTCAAAAAATGTCAAGAATAATCAGGACAGACACAGTACTGCACAGTGAAATTACTTCTATTGCATTTCTTACAATATCCTATTAATAATAGATGGGTTTTATGCACTTGCTCAAGCTTAATACCGAAGGCTGCTGTTCACTTAGAAGCCAAGAATACAGTCCCAAATTATAGCACTGAATAGCACCCGTTCCTTAATTTTCCACAGGTAGAACTTCAAGAATTACCTGCACAATGACACAAGGCCCAGACTCACTTACCAGACTGTCTGTTGAAGGCACTGGGAGGCTGCTGCTGTTGAATGCCAGGCAGGGTCCTCTTGCCCTGCACAGCAAGCTGGAGGTTTTCTGGCAAAGGCTGACCTCTAGCTAACATTTTGTATGCTAGAATCTGAGCCCGAAGCTGATGCAGCTGTACAGGGCTGAAAGGGGAAGGACCTCTGTTGGGTTGATTCATAACTTGTGGATCTCCTGGTATAATGGGTCCTGGCTGGCTGGGAGTCATCTGGGGTGGAGTTGGACCTCCTCCAGACATTGGACTGGATACATGCTCTGGTGCTCCTAGTGGAGATGGGTGTGGAGACATGTAACCTAGAAGAGGTACGAGAATCACAAACTTAACTGGTTAGTCAAATCTAAATTCCATCACATTTATTTAAGAGTAAACAGAGCATAAAAACGTCTCTTTCAAGTCAGGCTAGTTGTACTATTTTCTGCAAGAACCTAAATGCAATCTGAAGTTCACAAGGATATCAAGGTAGCCTTATAAACTATTCTTTAAGAAGAACTATAATTATATAGTCCAATAATTCCTAAAAATAACAATTACCCTCACATTTAGAGTAAGACAAACTAAAACATGAAATACAATACAGAAGCATTAGGATGTGGTACTGTTTCATTAGAATGTTGGACAAATATTTCACTTCCACATGCAGTGAAGTGTGCCTATTTTACAGCTTAATATTACAGGCTTATTTTGATGTACACACATCAAGGAATACTCATTCACTGATACAGGCCCTCTTTGCCAAAACCTGAGCATACAGAAACAGATGACATTAAATTGTCACACAATTCCTCTTTAATTTATACAGATTAAGTGTATGACCCAGACAAAGAACGTTCAGTATCTTTTTATCATCTGGGTGCTCAAGAACTTGGAACGTCAACCACAAGCACAAAAATCACCTTCTGAAAAAGCTGCTCAAGATTGTGTTACTCGATAAAAGTTCCAGGAGAGCAAGCACAGTTCTGAAGCCAACAGTGCGTGCATCTTATTATAGTACATGTGAATGCAGTGGTTTTAAGTTTGTATTTTAATTACTCTTATTACATTTTCCGTTGAGTTTCACAATGCATTCACAAAAAAAGATGGCATAGATTTTTGGTGAGATTTCCAAGAATATGTAGCATGTCAGAGAAAAAATATAAAAAGCGATTCTTTAGGTAATGGACAAGAGAGCTAGATTTTAAAGATGTCCTCCAAGAGTGAAAAAGAGGTAACAATATTTACCCACTTCACTCTAGTATCATGGAGCACAAATAATGCTCTTATCAATTTGAAAAGCCTAAAAAAACCTTCAAAAAATCAAGAAAACTTCTGGTTCACTTCCATATTCTTTAGCAAGCCACAGATCACTGAACTACAAAGTTCATGCCATAGTTCATGGCTCTGGACACCAAATCTACTCTTTCTCCACTCTTCCTGACACTGTGAAGTGAAACGACTTCAATTTCATCTATACATAGTCCAGATCACAGAAGCAAGTAATTTTGCCCTCTCTTTAGGTTCACTGTTCTTACTGGCCCTTCAGTAAGGGCAACATAGGCAAAATCTCAAAAGTAGTCTCAACTTTTCTGAGATAACAGCAGCTGTAAGTCACTAGAACTTACACAAGTAGATAGATGACAGTGCTAAAGAACTGGAAGTCCATCAATGCTGAGGTCTAGGGATGAAAATACATAATAAATAAAGTAAGGGTTTTAAGTGTTTGAGATAAAGGATAAAGAAGAGAGGATTTCAGCTCGTCTAAAAAAGGAAAATGAGGCACAAGTACAGTAGGGAAAAATGGTTTTCTGATGGGAAAAGACCATGTAAGACAAAGACATAAGCAGATTGAGTTCAATCGTGTAACTAAAGGAGACAATGACAGGAAGGGAAGACTCTAGTGAGAGAAAGAAAAATTAAGTAGTTCAAGAGAAAAATAGGGAAGTGAGGTGAGGAGTTCAAGGAAAAGGGAGAAAGAGACCTTAAAAAGTTAAAATTACTGTAATTATTTACTTGGTCAATATAAAAGTTGCTTATACATCCATTGGTGGTGATAAAAGCTATGACAAATAACTTTTAAGTTTACTCCACTTATTTATCGCCTTCCACTAACTTACTTTTGCCTCAACTTTTTTTTTTTTTAAGAAGAGAGGAAGCTTCAAATCCCTGTTGCTTAAAACACTGCTTTAAAAGAACAACCACTATGCCACAACAAAAACCAAAACATACGACTTCATTATTGCTTTATACTATAAAATGGGGTTTATTGCAATGTTTATCCAATACCACTACATTTCTAAATCTCAGAATTTATTTTAAATAGCACCTACTTCGAATTTTACTGTTTTCAAAACTGCCTTTCAAAGAAAGCTTTCTTTCTCCCCTCAAGTTATAGTGTCCAAGTTATACATCTTTTAATCACTGACAGATTTCAGACTCAGTGTCTTGAAATCCATCTGAACTATAAAAACCTAAAACTGTGGTGTAAGACATTGAGCACTTATTTCCAGTAGTGACAGTTCCAGCTGTGAGTCTGTCACTATGTTTTGTAGAGAGGAGTTTTTAGAAGCAGGCATTTTTTTGAGCTTACTAGATATATATTACTTAGCATTGTCTCTCTCCTTCAAAGTCTGATGCATTAGGATTCTTGGCAACAGGAAGCTAGGCTTGATGAGAGTAAGAATGAAAGCTAAATTCTAATAAAATATTTCAGGAAAGAACAAAAGCCTTCCAAACCTTTTGTAAAGGCTCTAAAATGGGGCATTTACAGAACCACAATTTTGTGATGGATATGGAAATTTTCCTTTTAAGTTTGAAAACTTTCAGAAGATTTAGCAGTGTGACAATACAAGCACTTACAAGCATGTCCCAATAAAGTCTCTATACCATTTGCTTTCTTCCTGTTATTACACATACTCTAACACAGGTGAGCATACACACATCAGCTCTGAAAAAGGGCACATGAAGACTTCCTAAGATTGAATTTAAACAGTACATGTCATAAAAGAAAAAAATTAAAGACACAATGCATAAGGATGTTTAATATACAGACAAAACAGATACTTTTTTTTAACTTCGCAAACATGCTTTCATCTGTTATGAAGCAGAAAAATTCATTTTTTCTGTGGCACAAATGAATTTCCACAATAAGTATTCATCAAGTTTTTAAATACCTAGCTCATTAATCATTAGTTGCTGAACTGCCAAGTACCCCTTCCTTTAGATTTCCCAGAGAAAATTTAGTTTGCTATTCTCCATAAACCATTCTGTTTAATTTAACCTTCAGAATGGAAGATGGCAAAAGCACTGAATTATAAGATTGCAGCACATGCACAAGAGAAGTTTTATGTGCTGGTGAAGTACAACAGATAACCTTTAGTTCTGAAAAATGCACAGATACACCCAACACCAGGAAAGGAAGGCCAAACAGCCCAACCTATCATTTAAAGCTGTGGTAACTCCAAAGCTTTATCAGGTTCCTCCAGGTCTTATCTGGGTGAGTTCTGAAACTCTCCAAAGATGCTGATTCTTAATCACTCTCAAGGTGAATTTTCTTTCCTTTAAGTCCCATCAGAATTTCACTTACACAACTTGTGACCATTACTTTTTGTGTTTTTGCTAGGCGCCTCTGAGCAGAGTCTGGTTCTGTGTTCTCCACAATCCTTCAATGGGTCACAGAAGAGGCTAAATCAGAAATTTTTCTCAAGTCTTCAGCAGTTAAAAAGCACTGCTGTCTTAACTACATGCATATGTAGAAAGACTATTTTCATCTCACTTCAGTATCAACTTGTTCAACAGAAATACATCACAACATGTCATAAATAATGTGTATTTTTTACAGTAATGACAATGGAAGAAATTATAGTTCTAACACTGTACCACACACAAGTATTTTTGGAAGGCAGACTGTATAAAAAGTTTCTGCTCTAATTGCTTTTAATTTCACTTTAGGTAACAGAGCAAAGAACATGTTCCTCATCTGTTTTATATCTGAAGAATCAAAGAGCTAAAAATTGAGACACCTTTCTTCTCCACTTTTAATGCTGCAACTAAACATAGGAAAATACATGCGAATTTTAAATCCTAATAACAAAAATTAGATAGGAAGACTCAGGGTTTTAACAGTTCAAACACCGGAATATTCAACAGAGGTCTTGACTCCCCACTAAAAATTAAGAAGACTTAAGTGATGAAAGTGTCTGAGGATCATGTATGTCGAATCCTGCTAAAACTGACAGCAAGGGTACATTTTTACTAAAAAATGTGACAGTAAAAGAATTTTTGGATTAGGAGGATACAGATAGGATTGAAGAAATTTAGTTGTCTAACTCATTTATGTTAACTATAACTTCAATCATCAATTAGAGTCTGTTTTAAAAAACAATGAGGAATCTAGTACATGCCCACAATACACAGTATGAAAGCACGACTTGGAATACAGTGGAAAATATGTTCTTGTTGGACTGAGCCTACAAACTTCCTTAAGGTAAGCAAAATACAACATTTCACTGTCAGTAGTGTGGCCAGGGTTAACATCAGTCTTGTGAAACTCTGAACAAAGAGAAAGAGAGGCCACATGTGTCCAAGACATTTAAAACTAGGACTGTAGAAATAAACTGTTGAGATGTCTCATGCTGTCAGGCAAATGGGTAAGGTGACAGATCTTTTTTCATCTTTAAAAGGCTGAAAAAATCAGAGAAGGAACAGTAGGGACAAGCAATGTTGTCTGTGAAGCAGCAGTAACTTAGTGAATTCTGTAAGTTAAACTTAAGTGGTGCATCTTTATAAGAAGTGCAACTAATACTGCATGATAACTAAAAATATATACACATCAAATCCCAGAACCTTAAATCCCTGCAGCGCTTATGCTTCCACTTACAAATACCAAGCAAAGACACCTGAACTGTTCAAATTGGTCTGTATTTCACTGCTGTATCACAATAACTGCATTTAATTTGTTCCAAATTCCAGAAAAACACATACATTGTTTCAGTCCATTTTTATCTTTTTATAAATGCTTTCTAAAATATTTTATTTTATATAAATATTTGGTTCGTCTTTGCCATTTCTCCCTATTCCTCTTATGAAGTCAAATCTAAACATAATTTTCATCTTCCAGACAACTCTGTTTAGCACTTTAACAATTTACTGTAAATTTCAGCTAAATATGAAGTTGGAGCGATGAATATTCCTTTCATTTAACCTATCAAAATTAAATGAAAGATATTAAGACTGAAAAGGGGTATTCTGTCTACTTTCAGGAGAAGAAAATTTGTCACCAGGAATAGTCAGGGATGTTACTCGTTCTCCAATTTGGCAG